GAAGATTTAACTAGGCTTATTGTGGGAGACCCAAGTCTTCAGTGTGAGTAGTAGTTGGAAGGATCCCCAGATCCTACATATGCTACATTTACAGAAACTGCTATGGTTTTTCTGGCTGTCATTCCCAATTTAGGTTGGCATGCAGGGTGTATATAGGTGCCCTTGTCTTGCATCAGGCAGCAATACCATGTTTTACCCAGTTTTTAATCTTTTCACCATCCATTTCTTTTTCCTTCCCTTTTCACTCTCACCACATCCTTTCACCCCCTCAATATTCTTGTCTTGATCAATTCCATCTTCTTCAGTATCAACTAAGCAACAGATCTGGTTTTCGTGGCTTGAAACTACAACTTTGTCTTGATTCCTTCCGTCTGGGACCTCTTGAGATTTTGTTACATAGAATCGCAGAACCTCAGAGTTGGAAGGGACCTCCACTGGCCATCTTGGCTAATTTGGATCTGGCTAACAATCCATTCTACATGAGTCCCAATAAGCAGTCACTCTGTATATCTCTTGGAGCTGGAGGGGTAGGGGTGGAAGGGAGAAGGGTGGGCATACATGATTTCCTTAGTCATGGAGCTTGATCCTGTCTCTTAACTTTCTCCCTACTGCTCTTAGGTCTGTTTCTACAGTTCAGTGACTTTGTTGTTGTTTCTGTCATTTCTGACTTTCTTGTGACCCTGTGGACCACAGCATACAGGCCAATGCTGTTCAGGCAGTTTTCTTGGCATAGATAACTAGAGTGGTTTGCCATTTCCTTCCCCAAGGGATTAAAGCAAACAGAGGTTAAGTGACTTGCCCAGGGTCACACAGCTAGTGTCTAAGGCAGGATTTTAACTCAGGTCTTCCTGATTCCAGGCCTAACTCAGCTCTATCCACTGAGCAATCCAGCTGCCTCTGTGACTTTTCTAGTCACCAATTCAGTGGCCTTTCTCTCTACAGCATCTGAGTGTAAATTATCTTTCTCCTCCTTGGGCCTCCATGACCCAACCCAGGCATGATAAATCCTTTTGGATGGAGCCCAGACGTGTGATTTCACTGGCATAAGGAATTCCTGATGAGGAAATTGTCTCCTGATACAGTTACTTAACTTCTAAATATCTCAGACATCTCTCAGACACCAAGTGATTAAATTACTCTTCTTCATACTGTTGCTAGAAACTGTAGAGCAGTATTATTGTATGTTCACATAATATCGTCAGATTTGGGTGAACACTTTCCTGGTGTGGAAGCTGTGATTTGTGGAAATCTCTGGGTGTGGTGTAAAAAGAACATTGGTTTTCCAAAGACCCAAGCTCTAAGCCCAGGTCCCAACAGATCCCAGGATCTCCACGACCCTGGGCAAATCACTGAACTGTTCCTGTTTCTTCAGCGACAGAACAACAGTTAACGCTTGCCATTTTCTCCTGGGCTGTTATGAAGAAAGCACACGAGAGCCTAAGATCACAGACAGAGCCGAGGGACCCTAGCAGTCATCTAAACCAATTCCTTTGTTGATACAAAAACTAAGGCACAGGGAGTCTGCAACTTGTTCCAGCTTACACAGGTGGTAACCACCAGATGTGGGATCTGAACTCAGTGTCTCTGGCTCCATTCTATCATGATTCCTAACGGCAAGCTTCTGCGCTCTATAGAGTATAAGCTAAGCCTGAAGAACCTGGTGAATGCAGTTGAAGGTCTGGGACAAATGTGAGACCCACAGCTGGACCTGGCAGCTGGGTGTCAGCTTAAGCCAGACTGATGGATGATGCTTAGAAGTACCTGGCCTTGGCTGCTACAGGAGGAGTCAGAAGGGTCCTAAGTTTCCAAGGGGTAGGATGCCAGGGAAGGGAGCTGGAGGCTGAGAGTCGGTGAAGCCATGCTATCTGCTCTCTCTAGAAGCAGCTTAGTTCAACAGAACTGTGGCTCGGCTTCATGAGTCCTCTGACAGCCATTTTTCTCTGTAAGCACGAATTTTTTTTTTCCACATTTGGAGCTGACAGGGACCTTGGGGGTTATCCAGTCTAACCCCTTTATTATACAGCAGAGGAAATCAAGGGCCATAGAGGTTAAATGATTTGCCCACAGCTTCAAAGATAGTAAGCAGCAGAACAGGGCTCCAAATCCAGCATTCTTCTTTCTGTGCCAGTGGTAGTAATAATAGCACCACCTGTTAGAGAGTATTGGACTCAACAGGCTATATTTCAAAAGCACCTGGAGGAACAGGAAAACTGGAACAGGACAGGCACCATATTTACTAGTGTTAAAAATCAGGGAGATATCAAGATTGCAAGATTGCCAAGGTTGCCAGTTTGTCTATTCGGTGATGGATGCTGGTCTATTATAAGGAACATTACTGATAACTTTTCAATATCACAATACTTTCTGACTATATTTCCCCCCCACTTCTGAAACCTTTTTTTGCATCAAACATCTTTAAAAGTTAAGCAAAACCAATTACATATCAACTGCATTTGACGGTACATACAATATTTCATACCACTTTGATACCTCTCACCCCCATACCTCCCCATCACCATCACCCACGAAAGAAGGGAAATACATGTTCTCACCTCTTCTCACACCTCAAGCTTAGTCAGAGTAATCAGTGTTTATCTTTTCGAATAAATTCAACAAACTTCACATTCTCTCTCTGTCATCTCCCATGTTGTCAACTCTATTGGAAAGACAATTTCTGCAGTCCTGATCTCTCTCCCAAGCTCACTTGCCACTGACACTTCGAATTCAATGGGCAAAAAACCAAAAGTAATGAACTCTTCCTTCCTGGGCCCCCCAAACAACAGAAACAGAGAACTTCAGCAACTCCAAGTTTGCTTTTGCAATGGTTCCATCATCTTCTCAGTCACGAAATATAACTGATATTTTGACTTCTCTCTCTTCTTTACACCCCCTCCTCCACCCCCACCCCCCCCAGGAATAAAGACAGAAAGACTATAGGACTATATAAGCAGATGCTCAGTTGTTCCTTCAGGAAGTGGGCTGAATCTGCCCCAGAGCCAGTATGACAGGTCCACATGGGGTGATGTTGAAGGAACCTGCTCATCACAGAACTTTTAAGAATCTTCAGGGCGTACATAGCTCAAGTTTAAAGACTCTGGCTATCTACCTGGAGACCCCTGGGGTCAAATAAGTGGAATTGTCCTGGAAGGCTTGTTTTTATTTCACAAAAGTAGTGCTAAGGAGCATGATTCCCAGCTTTTACCTTGACTGGGGAGTTTAGGATTTAGTTTTTTAAATTAATTCTCTAAGTATACCATTATATCATCTGCGAGTGATAGCTTTGTTTCTTCGTTGCCTATTCTAATTCCTTCAATTTCTTTTTCTTCTCCTACTGCTAAAGCTAACATTTCTATTACAAGATTAAGAAACAGTGGTGAAAATGGACATCCTTGTTTCACCCCTGATCTAATATTGGAAATGCTTCTAACTTATCCCCATTACATATAATGCTTGCTGATGGTTTTAGATAGATGCTACTTATTTTAAGGAGAACTCCATTGATTCTTATGTTCACTTGTGTTTTTAATAAGAATGGGTGTTGTATTTTGTCAAAAGCTTTCTCTGCATCTATTGAGATAATAGGATTTCTGTTAATTTTTTTATTGATATGATTAATTATGTTGATAGTTTTTCTAATACTGAACCAGCTCTGCATTCCTGGTATAAATCCCACCTGGTCATATTGTATTTATCCTCGTGACAAGTTGCTGTAGTTTCTTTGCTAATATTTTATTTAAAATTCTTGCATCTATATTTATTAGGGAAATTGGTCTATAATTTTCTTTCTCTGTTTTGGCTCTTCCTCGTTTTGGTATCAGCACCATATTTGTATCATAAAAAGAATTTGGTAGGACTCCACCTATTTTTCCAAATAGTTTATATAGTATTCAAATTAATTGTTCTTTAAATATTTGGTAGAATTTGCTTGTAAATCCATCTGGCCCTGGAGATTTTTTTCTTAATGAGTTCACTGATGGGAGTATTCGATTTCTTTTCTAAAATGGGGTTGTCTTTTATTTCCTCTTCTGTTAATCTGGGCAATTTATATTTTTATAAATACTCATCCATTTCACTAAGACTGTCACATTTATTGGCATACAGTTGGGCAAAATTAATTATTGTTTTAATTTCCTCTTCATTGGCAGTGATTTCACTCTTCATTTTTGATACTGGTAATTTGTTTTCTTTTTTTTTTAATTAAATCAACCAAAGGTTTATCTATTTTATTGGTTTTTTTCATAAAACCAGCTTAGTTTTGTTAGTTCAATAGTTTTCTTAATTTCAATTTTATTAATCTCTCCTTTGATTTTTAGAATTTCTAATTTGGTATTTAATTGGAGATTTTTACTTTGTTCTTCTGGCTTTTTTTAGTTGCATGCCCAATTTATCGATTTCTTCTTTTTCTATTTTATTCATGGAAGCATTTAGAGATAGAAAACTTCCCCTAAGAACTGCTTTGGCTGTATCCCATAAGTTTGGTATGTTGTCTTATAATTGTCATTCTCTTGGATGAAGTTACTGATTGTTTCTAAGATTTGTTGTTTGACCTATTTGTTCTTTAAGATTAGATTATTTAGTTTCCAATTAATTTTTAGTCTATCTTTCCATGGCCCTTTATTACATCATGATCTGAAAAGGACGTATTTGATATTTCTGCCATTCTGCATTGGATTGTGAGTTAAGGATTTTGGAGCAGGGCAGGTCCGAGTTGGGCAACACAAGTAACCTGCAGGATAGGAAGCAGAGTTGCTAGGAGGTAGATGGGCATAACCACAGAGGTTGAGGCATGTTGGATAGGTGCTTTGCCAAACTTACCCAGCACCATGGAAAAAGTCACCTGGAACTGATGTTCTGTTCTTCCCTGCACATAGCCAATAACAAATAAAAATCTGATGAACTGAATCGAGTTCTCTTTTTCTTAATATGCTCTTAGGACAAAGTTTCTGCCATTTCCCCTGGAGACTCCACTGTAAACATTAAAAAAAAAAATCTTCAAAGAGTTTTGCACATTTGAAAATAGCTTTATTTCACCACTGCTCAGATCCTGCAGTCAAAAACACAGTTACTGCATCATAAATAAGAGATGACCATCAAAAGAACAAGCAAAGGAGAGAAATTCAACCTCAAAACTGCATAAATACTTTGCCTAATTACAGAGTTTGTAAGTATACATGACAATTAACCAATCCATGGGAAGTTCCACAACACTTGCTGCCCACCTATCAAACATACGAATGCCTCAAACACCATGAGGCAATGGAAGAAGAAGCATTGGATTGTTCCCCCAGCGCAATCTCCAGATGGGAAGTTTTGCTAGTGTTTTCCAACATGTCCTACAAGCAAGAAAGGGATGGACAATGGAAATAGGTAGCAACTCTTCCTACCTATTCTTAAAAAATACATTAGGATATGCACCCAAACATTTAGATATATTTCAAATGCTATTCTCAAGATCAATTGCAAAGGGAAGAGATCTTTGCAGCTGTGACCATTAGAAAACTGGACAAAATTTGAGGCTGTGGGTGCAGCATGGTAAAGTCTTTAATTGGCTGGGTCAATCAGTCCAGCTTTGGCAAAGATTTCTTGCAAAGGAGTGGGAATTCAACTTGACAAGATGGCTAAAATCCCAAACTGGTTATCTGTTCAAATTCAGTCTTACAATTCCCAAACACCACAGGCCTAAAATCTATCAAGGACGTTTTTTTTAAAAGGAGGAGAGGCCCTTTAAATCCTTGGGATGGGTACTCAAGTAGCTCTTGGTATTGTTACTTCCTTTTTCATGTGCATATATAATCTCAGAAACGCAAAGAGCTTTTGTATCCCCAACAGCCATAACACAGGACTAGACATGTGTGACTATCTTATAATGTGAAACTATAAGGACAGAATTCTGGAAAATAATTCCTCTCTGGGAAGTAGGCCACTTGAAGGGATGACACGTAAGAGAAAACTTAGCAAAGTGGGTAAACCTGTAACCTGAACTAGGAGAGGCTTGATCAGTCATTGGATTCAGATCTGTCAGTTCTCTCTTATTCCATAAGACAGCTGAGAATAAGGGACACCCCTCAGGCCAGAAACAGGAAAGTATTGGGTAGCCCAGTGGTAGGGGTACACAAGCTCTGAAAAAATGAGAATTTCATTTCCAGCCCTTGGAGGGAGTAACTTAAGAGCCAAGAATGAGGACATTATGCTTGAGGTCACATGGATGCAAGAAGAACTAGGCTATTTTAGAACAGGTAAAAAAAAAAAAACCCAAAATGAAAAATCCAGACACTGGGCTTTATTAAAGTTTAGACATCTCAAATACAGCTGAGGCAAAAAAAAAAAACCAACAACTAACAAACAAAAAAAAAACAGAACCAGGTGTAAATGTGGTATGAGCTCCAGACCCATCTGCAGCTACATCATAATTACCTCAAAATCAGAAATCTGTGCTAGGTAAAGCTCATCCTTAGTGAAGCTTCAAATACCTTCAGAGGAGGCCTGTGAGTACCCAGGGGCACTACCTAGTGCAAATGTGACAGGAATACTTTCAGGAACAGTTCTCAGGATCACAGATTCAGAACTGGAAGGGAACCTAGAGGTCATCTAGTACAATCTCTTGTTTTATAGAGGAGGGAGCTGGAAGGCAAATCAAGCACGTGCCAATACCAAGCCCATGCGTCCTTATGTTGTCTGAGCTAGGTGGCACAGGAAGCATTAGTTAATTCCTCTAGAGAGGTCTGGCAACCACTGCCCATCTACACACATCTAAGTGAGGGCAGAGCTAAGAGAATCCTCCAGCCCTTGCCTTCATGGCAAGACAGGGATCAGTGAAGGGTACAGAGGTACAAAGGAATAACACTGGTCCCCGAAGGGGTCATTTTAAAATGAGATGATAGGGACCAGTAAAACTAGAATACCTGTCACTGGGAAACCTGCAATCCACTCTGAGGAAGTGCTTCAGAATCTGCATAGTAAAAGTTTCCTTCCCTTAAAAACTCAGGGCTTCAAAGGAAAGAGTCAGCAGCCACAGGCTCGAGCTTCCCTCCCCAGAACAGTGAGGAGAGTAAAGCCCGTATTCCCTTCCCGTGCCCCCATCCAGGATCTACTCCCCTGGTGTCACTGCAGTCAGCTCGGTCAGTCCAGAGTACAACGAAAGCTCAACCGGGAGGAGTGCATCTCCTGCTCAAGTGCTTCATCCCACCCCTCATCATGAGTTTTCCTTCCTGAGAAAATGTGGTTGTTCATGCCCAGAGATGCTATGTCCGTGCCCCATAGTTCCCTTCCAATGAGAGGGAGCTTTCAATTCTCCAGAAGAGAGTGAGTTACCCCTACCTGGCCCGCGGCCCTGGGCAGGGTTTTCCCAAGGATGCTAGCCCACATTCTCCATCTTCACATACGAATGTGGGTTGTGCAATGGTTCCCCAAGGTTCACTTGGGCACTACTCCCTTGTTCTCTGGCCCCTCGGCGCCCCTTTTGGTCTTGCCCAGTCCTAGCACCTTCTCCATCATGCTTTCCCAAGAGGCTTTCAGGAGTGGGCAGTCTCTCCTGGCCTCCACCTCCAAGGGGGCCAGCAGGAGGGTCTTTAGATGGTGGGCAGCCCCTCTCACATTCAGTACAGGGATGAGGCAGCTCACCAACATGGCTGCCCTGGTGCCGAACCAGCCAGGAGCGGCAAATGAAGCTCTTGCCACACTGCCCACATGGGTAAAGCTTCTCTTGTGTGTGACTGCGCAGATGGCGCAAGAAACTGGGTTTCTGCGCAAAACGTTTACCACATTGGGCACACTTGTAGGTGCGCTCGCCAGAGTGGGTGTTCTGGTGTACCGTCAGGTTAGCCAGCCTAGTAAAACGCTTTTCACACTCAGCACACTGATAGGGCTTTTCACCAGTGTGGGTCCGTCGATGCTCCACCAGCGTGGATAAGCGGCTAAAGCGACGTTCACATTCAGTGCACTGGTAAGGCTTTTCACCAGTGTGGGTCCGCCGATGCTCCAAAAGGGTCGACAATCGGCTGAAACGCTTCTCACATTCTGCACAGGGATACGGTTTCTCACCAGTGTGGGTACGGTAGTGTGTAGTAAGAGTAGACTGGTGGATGAAACTTTTCCCACACTGGGCACAGGTATAGGCTCGTTCACCTGTGTGTATGCGGTAGTGACTGGTGAGGGTGGCTTGTTGGGCAAAGCTCTTGGGGCACTGGGGACAGGCAAAAGGACGAGGGCTATGGAGAGCTTGCTGGTGCTGGGTGCGGTGCTCTTTCCGGCTGAAGCTCTGGCCACATTCAGCACAGGGATAAGGCCTTTCCACCGAAACCGATGCTGGAACATCTTGACAGTAGGGACTAGGAGGAAGGACACTGAAGTCTCGCTCCCATGGGGCAGATTTGCCAGCTGGACCTCTCAGGAGGGATGAACTGCAGGGGTTCTCACAAGACCCCCCTCCTAAGCCCAGATCTGGGGCTTGATGAAGGCTCTCCTTGTCTCGGCCCTGCAGAACCCAACTTGGCTCCAGGTCCTTGGACCCCTTCTCCTGGCTCTTTTCTTTCTCTTTACTGACCAGCCAGTCCTCTGCTGGGAGAAAGCGCGCACACACACACACACACACACACACACAAAAGTATGAATCACTTCTGTCTCTGGTTTCTTTAAACAATGGCCCAGTGAGGGGCTGGAATGGCTCATTCCCCTCTTTTATCTTATAGTTCTAAAATCCCAGTTAGTGAGAAGTAACGGAGGATTCAAGGATCTCCACAACCTACTCTCAATCTACCCTTTATCTTCCACTACCTTCTTCTACTGCCTCTCTCCGCCAATCTTTTCTGATTTATAATCCTCTCTCTGAATAGATCATGCTCTAACCGTCCCTGGGGTATCCTCCTTCCTCTCCATCTCTCTAAACCCTATTTGTCTTTTAAGGCCCAGCTCAAGTTCTGTCTTCTACACCAGGCCTTCCTTAGAACCCTCAGCACCTATAGAACTTGTCTGTTGCTTATGGATAGCAGTTAATCGTGAATTACTTTGTGACTTTTTTGTATTATTACTTTATATGTTCCACATACCTTACTCTCATCTCCCTACCTAGACTATAAATGCCTTGAAGGCAGGGACCATCTTATTGTACCACCCCCTCAAATGATATGGCCCATTCCTTGCATTCATGTACACACGCACACATGCACACACACTGCCAAAGACTGACACAGGGTTGGCACAAAGACAATTAAACTTGCTCAATGAAGACATCAAGTGAAAGGCAACTTTCCTGTTGAAATAATGACCTATTAAATCAAGTTGCCTGAGAAAGGAGCCCACAGCAGACAAGGCAAATGAGATACAGAGATATTGATACTGGCTCTCAAGTTCAAAATATTTTCTTTCTTTCCCTAGGCAAAAGGAAGAGCAACCATAGTGAGGTGAGGCATGGACCCTGGGCAAGAATTCTAAGTCAAAAGTTTAAACTCAAACTAAGAATTACTTCCCAAGTCCAAAGGTGACTCGGAGTCATTGTGACCATGGTTAAGGGGGATTGGACTAGATGAGCGCCAAGGTCCCTTCCTACAAGGACTTGTTCCTTGGGAAAACTGAAGTAGAAATTCCTGGAGAAAAGCAACATCAGCTAGGCCATGAAAAGAAGATTTCTCCCAAGATGTGCCTATACTCTAATACATCCATTTGGGAGTCATGGACACCTGCCTTGACACCCCCTGGCTGCTGCTCTCACCCAGAGTATACACACCACAATGAGAGAGAGAAGAGATTCAACCCTTACCTGTGCAGAGGTCGGTGGAGATCTCACTCTCTTGCAGACTCTGCTGATTCCTCCCACATCCTCCTTCTTGCTTAATCCAGGGAAGTACATCTTGAGAAGAAACCAGTGTACTTGTTTCTACAGGGGAGAGAAAGAATTAAGGGTTACAAATCACTGGGCTTTTTGTTACTCTGTGGGCCATGCTGTCTATGGGTACAGCCAGAGGCCAGACACAAAGCACCAAGGCAGATATTTCAGCACACAATTCGGCCCCGATGTGTTACAGGCTACATGAAATCTCCCAGATATACTAAATGGACCAAAGGGCTGATTTCAGATAATATACGGGTAGTATGGCAGGAAAAAAAAAAACAAAACACTGGGCTGCCAGTCAGAAGATGGTTCTAGTCTAAGATCTGCTAAACCACTTACACTGAGAAAATCACTTCAACTTGAATGAACCGATGCTAACCTATTTCCAGACTGTCAGTCTTAAACCTCCAGCTGCCTGCTGGACATCTCAAATCCAACATCTCCAAAACAGAACTCGATATTTTTCTCCCCAAACCCTCCCTTCTTTCGGTCTTCTCAATTACTGTTGAAAGTCCCACTATCCTCCTAGTCACTCAGGCTCAAAACCTTTGTCATCCTTTATTCTTCACTCTCTGTCACATCCCACATCCATTAAGTTGCTATTGTTTCTACCTTTGTAGAAGGTAGAATATTTATTTGGTTTTAATAAAATCATACCTCACTCAGCTAGACCTGTTCACTGTAGAATAGAGTGAAAGTTCTGGCTTTTATGTGGTGCCGTATAACACACTGTAGAAATCTTGATTTTATGTCACTCCTCTATGCCCCTTTCTCCCCTCATGATTTCTACCATGCTGGTCCAGGCCTTCAATGCCTCATGCCTAGACTATTGCAATAGCCTGATGGTAGCTGGTCTCCCTTCCTCAAACCTCTCTCTTCTCCAATCCATGCACCACTCAGCTGTCAAACAGACCTTTAAGTACTTTAAGGTCTGATGATATCACACCCCAATTCAACAAACTTCAGTGGCTTCCTATTATCTCCAGAATCAAATATAAAGTTCTCTGTTTTGCTTTCAAAGCTCCTCATAACCTAGTCCCTTTCTACCTTTCCAGTCTTCTTACATCTCACTCCCCTCCAGGTACTCTATGATCCAAAGACAATGGTCTCCTGGCTGTCACTTACATACAAGCATTTTCACTGGCTGGGAATTGTCTACCCCATCATTTCTACCAACTAGCTTCTCTGCTTCTTTCAAATCTCAGCTAAGTCCCACCTTCTGCAAGATGCCTTTGTCAGTCCTTCTTAATTTCAGTGTCGACCCTCTGATTATTGCCAATTTAACCTGCATATGTCTTGCCTCTATATAGATATTTGCATGTTGCTCTCCCATTAGACTGTGAACTCACTGAAAGGACTGTTTTTTGTCTTCCTTTGTACCCCCTAGCACAGAGAAGGTGCTTAAAAAATGCTTGTTGACTTACTGATTTTTATGGTAGCCAAGAAATAGAAGTAAATGACCACTGACTGGGGAATGGCTAAACAAACTGTGGTACATGAAAGTAATAAAATATTATTGTCCTGTAAGAAATGATGAACATGGGGCAGTTAGGAGGCACAGTGAATAGAGCTCCGGCCTTGGAGTCAGGAGAACCCGAGTTCAAATCCAGCCTCAGACACATGACACTTACTAGCTATGTGACCCTGGGCAAGTCATTTAACCCCAACTGCCTCACCAAAAAAAGGGAAAAAAAACAAAACAATGAACATGATGAAAACAGAGAAGCATGGGAAGACATGTGAACACATACAAAGTGAAGTAGAACCAGTATAATGTACACACAATAACTACAAAAATGTAAGTGGAAAGAATAACAATCAAAACTGAATCTTCTGAAATTATGATGACCAAGCTTGGCCATAAAGAAATACAAGAGGACACCTACACTCTGCATTCTTCTGCAAAAGCATACAGATGCAGGATACTATACATAATGTCATGCTTTTTTGGGATGTTGGCTAGTTCTGAGAAGTTTTTCCTTTTTATTCTTTAATACTGAGGACAGATCTCTATCAAGGAGTAGAGAGGAAGGATATAATAGGAAATGTAGGTGATATAAAAACAGTGAGTGTATCAATACAATTTTTAAAAATAAAGAGAATGGGGGCAGCTAGGTGGCGCAGTGGATAGAGCTCTGGCCTTGGAATCAGGAGGACCTGAGTTCAAATCTGGTCTCAGACACATGACACTTACCAGCTGTGTGACCCTGGGCAAGTCACTTAACCCCAATTGCCTCACCCACTCCCCCAAAAAAAAGAAAGAAAAGTTTATGGAATAAAATCAAGATTTCTACAATGTGTTATATGGCACCACATAAAAGCCAGAACTTTCACCCTATCCTATGGTGAACAGGTCTAGCTGTCCAGACACATCTGGTTCTTTCCATTCCTCTACAATATGTCAAAGGATGAGTGAGGTATGATTTTATTAAAACTAAATGACTGATTGAAGTAGCTGCTGTGATTCAACAGAAAATCTGAGAACTGGTATAAACTATTCTTTATTCTCAGGGAATCACAGGATTATGGATCCAGAGCTAGAATTAACCACATCTCGTCCAACTCGTTTATTTTTATTATTTTAAACAAATGAAGAAACTGAGATCCAGGAACATTAAGTGATTTGCCCAAGATCCCACATGGAGCAGACTTTGGGGGCAGCAGTCATTGCGCCATGTAACACTGCCCTCTCTTCCTGTCACACAAGCTACAAACCCCGCCAAAAGTCCTACAGGCATTTACCCAATGGGCTTTAATTTGCTGATGAATGAACTCTGGAAATATCAGAAGACAGAGAAACATGGAAAGATTTGCATGAACTGCAGCACAGTGGAGTGAACAGAATCAATGGCATAATCTATGAAGCAAATTCACTAATGTACTTTGAAAGATCTCAGAATGCTGACAAAAGAAATGACAAATCATGACTTTAAAAGACCGATAATGAGGGGAGGGAGGTAGGAAGCCTTTATCAAGTGTCTATTCTGTTACTAGGTACAGTGTTAAGCACTCAACATAAATATTACCTTGGTTGATCCTCACTCTGGATTATTACCCCCATTTTACAGTTGAGGACACTGAGTAAGTCAGAGGTTAAGTGACTTGCCCAGGGCCCACATGGCTAGTAAGAGTTTGAGGCTGGATTCAAAATCAGGTCTTCTCAACCCCAGGCTTGGCACTTTATCCACTGCAACATTTAGCTGCATACTTCCCATCTCTCGATAGAAAGGGGATAGACCAGAAATACAGAATGAAACACATTCTCAGACATGACCATTTTATTGATTTATTTTGCTCGACTACACATGTTTACAAGGAAAAGCTTCTACCTGGAGGTACTAAGCCAGTTAGCGAATAGTGACAAACATGGAAAAAAAGAAAATCAATAATACATTTCAAACATATGCAGAAGGAAAACAAACGTTATTTGAATACTGAAGTGATCATATTTGGGTTTTTTTTTTTGTTTTGCTTTTTTGGTGAGGCAATCAGGGTTAAGTGACTTGCCCAGGGACACACAGCTAGTAAGTGTCAAGTGTCTGAGGCTGGATTTGAACTCAGGCCCTCCTGACTCCAAGGCCAGAGCTTTATCCACTGTGCTACCCAGCTGCCCCGGTCATATTTATTGATGGTTAAGTTCATAGTAAAAAATTAAAAAAGAAAAGAAACATTCCAAGGATCAGCCCAGACTATTTTGGAATTTGTATATATAGGGTCATGCTCCAATCTGCTTTGAGGGAAATTCTACCCATATTCTAGGAAGAAGACAATAGTCCTGTTACCCCTCTTGAATAATGAGACAGATTTACGACCAAGCTTAATGATAAGCACATGGCTAGGTTAGTGAACAAAACTAACCAGGTCATACAAGGGAAAAACCTATGGCTTTGGTTTTATTAACATGGTGTTGGATCAAATGCTAGATTTTTAAATGTAAAAGAAATCTTAGAGATTATTTAATCAATTATTTTTTTCAAAAATTTTACACGATGAAACCAAGGTCCCAAAAGATTAAAAGACTTGCCCAAAGTAGAACATCTGGTTACTGTAATAAGAACAACAATGTACTAGGAACAAGGAGACCTTGGATTCCAGTTTTAGCTCTGTCTCTGGTTGTATGACCATGGGTAAAAAAACAAACAAAAAAAACCCCTAGTTCTCTAGGACTCAATTTTCTCATACGTAAGATGACAGAAATGGCTTCTTCAGTCCCTTCCTACTCTGAAAGGACCCAGGTATTCTAATTCTTTCCATGCCAGTACTGCCAGTAGCCGACTAAGATCCCTCTTCCATCCCCTCCAGTAGCAAAGCTACTCACCAGCACTGGGATGGACTGGGTTCTCTCTTTCCTCTGTGTTTGAGAGCTCTTGGCCACATGGCTCCTCCCCTTGTTCAATTCGGGATAAGAGATCTGGCTTGGAGATGGCATAATCTGGTAGGGAAGAAGGTGAAGTGTTAGGAAGGACATGACCTAGGTCGTTTACATCTGGAACTTGAAGTCATGGATTCTAATCCTCTAACAGTCAAATAAGATGAGCAGGAAACTCAGAAGGGAAAACCATAATGCCCTTCATGTAGCCCAATGACTTTATGGGGAAAGAATTCCCACAACTTAGGCCTTGGAGGTTTTCTATCTCCATGTCCCACTGTTCCCTATCTTGTTCATATGCTCCATGGGTCAGCCTTCATAAGTAGTAAAACTGAGAGGCTTACAATCTTTTGATCCTAACCGTGTTTCAAACAGCACAAACATACACATGTGGCTTTTTATCCACGTAATCTGGGAAAGAGAACGTTGTTGAGCATGAACCACACTATGGAACAGAATAGAACTAAGGTTCCATTCTCTCCCTTCACTCCTCCCCCAGCCTGAGTCAGTCAGTCAACAGGCATTTTTTACATGCCTACTATACACCATGCACTGTACTAAGGGCTGGGGATACAAAAAGAAAAAAAGTGAGTTCCTCAAGGAGCTCACAAAGGAGGGAGACAACAAACAAATACGTACAAAGAAGGTGTGTGTGTGTACACACACCTACACACACACACATACACACAACAGACTGTGAGCCTGAGGGCCATGGGGTAGGGCCCTTGACAGTAACAGAGAAATCTGAAAAACAGGAAGGTTTGGGGAAAGATAGAATTCAATTTTGGACTTGCTGAGTTTAAGATTTAAGCGGACGTTTAAGTGGACACCCAGTTTGAAATGTATGAAAACAGTGGGAGATGTGATACTGGAGGTCAGCAGAAAGGTTGGAGCAGGATAAGTAGATTAGAGAATCAATAGCATAGGGATGATAATTAAATCCATGGGAGCTGATGAGAACACCAAGTTAAGCAGTAAAGAGGAAGAAGAGAAGAGGGTCCATAATAAAGCCTTGTGGGACAACCATAATTAGTAGGCAAAAGCTGGATAAACATCCAGCAAAGGAGACTGAGAAAGAGCTCAGATAGGTGGGAGAACTAGGTGAGTGAGGAGAAAAAGATGATCAACTATATCAAACGACACAGAGAAGTCAAGAAGAATGAGAACTGAGGAAAGGCCATTGGATTTGGCAATGAGGAGACCACTGATAACTTAGAAAAGCTATTTCAGTGAAATGATGAGATCAGAAGCCATATTGTAAGGGGTTAAGAAGAGAGTGAGAAAGTAGAAGTGTCTATTGTAGATGGCCATTTTCAAGGAATTTAGCCATAAAGGGGAGAAGAGATATAAGGTGATAGTGGGGATAGAAGGGTCAAGTGAGGGTTTTTTCAGGATGGGGGAGACATGGGCATGGTTATAAGGCAGCCAGGAATGAGGTAGTAGAGGGGGAGAGATTGAAAATAAGTGGAAGAATGGGAACGAGAGGAGGCAATCTACTGGAGGAGATGAAATGGAACAGGAGGAGGGATGAAAAGATCTGAAAGAGCTGTTGAAGAATGGGATTGTGTAGCAGCAGTGAGGGCATGGTTTAGACTGTAGAACATAAATTTGTAGAGGACCCGGTGAGAAAGGTTGCATGATTTTCTCTGCCTTTGCTGAGGAGCACAAGTGTAGCAGTCAAGGCAACAGATGGTGGGAGTGACTGAAGACTGAAGCCTGGAAGGGCACAACAGGCAAAATGATGAGGGGTCTAAGGACTCAGTGCAGTGCTGAACTGGCTCACGAGAGCGTCAAGATGGGGAGAAGAGGAGGGAGTGGCTAGTGCAGAGGTGATAGCCTGAGAAAGAACTGAGAGGTTAAAAGGACTGAAGGTCATGGTATGGATGAAGAGTAGGGTTTGGTATGGGAAAGTGGAAGGAGGTAGAAAGCCAATACATTACGATCAGATAAGGGGATTTCAGAGTTCTTGAATGTGAAGATGGTATATTTGCAGGTGATGGCAAGATCTAGGGTGTAGGGGAGTAGGTCATGGGAAATGAGTAGGTTAAGGAACTTAGTAATTGTGGTGTTCGAGAGTGTCAATATATATGTTGAAATCCCCTAGTTTGAGGGTAGGAGTTGAGAAAGACTATGAGCCAGGCACTGAAACTCATTGAGGAAGAAAGGAGAATGTCCTGAAAGTCTGTAGAAAATAGCTATCATGATTTTCATTGAGTGGAAGATGTGGATTGTAAGGATCTCAAATGAAGAAAGGTTATTGAGTCATTGTTAGGAGTTGGTTCATCACCAACCACGTATTTGGGCAATATTTATCAAACACATACAATAGATAAGGCCCTCTGCTAAGCCCTGTGAGATACAAAGATATAAGACAAGGCTACTACCTATTCCAAAGCTTACAGCACAGTACAGAGAAATATATCAGTTATACAAATAACCACCCACAAAATAACAGGAATGACATTATGCTAGACAGGGAGGAGTCCCAGGTTTTTGGTGCATTCTCCTTTTTTTGAAGCTTGTAACCCTGAGCAAATCATCGCTTCTTACCTTACCTGTATCAGATGTTCTTTCAAAGTTCCTTCTGCATCTCAAATATAGGATTCTAAGTAGCTAAGTCAGTGGGTAAAAATTAAAACAGGATTTCTACAGAGACTCCAGAGCTCTTAACACAGAGAGAGCAGCCCCTTACCCAAGGATACCAATGTTTCATAGTTTCCTCTCATCACATGTTTGTAGAGCTCCTTCTGCCACTCATCCAGGTTCCCCCACTCCTGCTCTGAGAAATACACAGCCACATCTTCAATAATCACAGGTACCTGGAAAACAGTACATGAGACGCCCAGAGTCACATCTGATATCCAGCTGGAGCTCTCCGATAAAATTCCAGTAAATAAGAGTTAATCTCCACTATGCCTCAAGCTGCCCGAGGTTGAATAGGGTCAAGTGGTTAGTTTTGCTTTTCCTATTCCATATGCCCTCCCAGGTCCAGTTCCAAGCTGCAGGCTACTTAGAGGTCTTTACAGGTTTCTTCTCTAATTTACAGTCAGTTCCTAGTATACCTGTTACCATGGTGACCTCTCCCTATACACCCCAACTCCTTTGAGCAAAGCTCTTCCTTTTCTTCCGCTCAGGATGATTATACTTGTCCTTCGCAAATACCCCAAAGCTCCTTGGAATAACTGGTTGACTAGCTTTAGGGACAAAGAAGTCTGCCTTCTCCTGGCTCTAAGCCTGCTGCCACTGGCCTTTTAAGAACGTTATGTGCCAAGTTAGTATCCACCAGGAGATTACCTTGGGGACCTCGCCCTTGCTGCCTGGGGGAAGCCGAAGGATCCAGAAGTTCCTGTTTCTCAGCAGGTTCTCCATGTTTTCCAGTCTCCTCTGGAGTAACCCATACTCCTGGAGCAGGGTACCCAGCACAGCCCATTTGCCCTCTAGCTGGTTCCCAAACTCCACTGCTGTCTTTTCACAATCAACCAACTTCTTCTCTGCTGTGCCTGTCCGCCCCTCTAGGGTCTGCAGGCGGGCAGCCTGGGACTCTACCTTCTGCTCCACAGCCTGAATGGAAGCCAGGATAGCCAGCAGTGAGATCTCAGCTGACTGGATCTGGGCTTCTCGCTGAGGGACTGTAGGAGATGCTGGAGGTGCTGGGTGTTGTATGCTGGTGTCCCATTCCTGAGACTAAACCCAAGGAGAGACAGAAACAAATGGGGGTGAGAGGGTAGGAGGAAGTCATCTCCACTTACCATAATCAGCAACAAAGAGACAGTGGCTGAGAACTGTGTCTGAGCTACGGAAGCAGAGTCCCAATCTCAAGGAGGGGAGGCTCTGAAGGCACTGCCATCACTGGAATGACTTGCTGGGGACCATCATCTCAGGTTCAAGTTCCAGCTCAATTCACATCTTAGAACCTGTCTCTTAACTCATTGCTCTTGATCTCAAAGCCTTCTCTGGGCTCTGAGAGTCTATAATTTTGAGACCACACTACAGCTAAGACTTTACACTACTACATTTCATCAATCTCGGCCTCGGTTTCCTCATCTATAAAAAGGGCCAATAAGCTTTATACCATCTATAATAATTAGCTAGTATGTGTATACATACATATATATATATGTGTGTATATATATATGTATATATATATAGCGAGAGAGAGAGCACTTCAAGATTTACAAAGCACTTGACAATAATTTCATTTTGTCCTCAAGACAACCCAATATCAATACGATATTATTTATCCCCATGTAACAGAAGAGGAAACTGAGGTAGACAGAGGTTAAGTGACTTGTCTAGGGTCACACAGTAAGTATCAAAAGCTAGATTTTAATTTAAGCCTCCCTGATTTGAGGCCCAATATTCTATCTAGAGCAAAGTACCTTGTAAACTGTAAAGTGCTATAGAAATGTGAGTTGTTACCTCCTTCCAGGACCAATATGTTCAAACAGCCCCTGATATACAGTCAACTTCATTTACTAAACACTCACTGTACAGAGTAGGAAAGAGATTATGAAAGTAAAAGGGTTTCTTTTTCCTGTAAGAATTTCCAGCCTAAAGCAGGAAGACAAGCAGCATTACAGGAGGACATAAGATCAAAATGGAAAACCTCAAACTTATCGCTATTTTATGCCTTCCCTCAACCTCATTCACTGCTTAGTGAATACCTGGCTTAAATAGTAGTGAGAGTTCCCTTTAGAAGGTATGATAATGCTTTTGGCTGCTTCAGAGAAACCTGGGCTATCCTGGAATTGTAATGACTGCTCCCCTCCTTGAGATGAGGAATCAGGTCTTATAGTTATCTGTGTTTCCCCACATCCCCAACAATTCCTTGCATGTAGATGACTCCCAAGAAGCACCAGATGGATGATCATTTTACTGAGAGCCTGAAATAAATTTTGTTAGTATTTGAATTTGTTCTAACTATCCACATAGGATACAGAAAAGTAGATAAAGAAAACATATGGTACAGACTGAGATATGTAATTAGACAACCTATATAGCTGATTCAAAAGTACATATATTTTGGACAGACAATGCAGATGGACAATGAATTGGCCTCAGAATTGAGAAGGAGGAGGAGGAAGGAAAGAAACAGGTTACGAATGCACTTGGAAAATTTCTCACAGCTTTCAGTAACTCTACGCTTTTTTCTAAAACAAAACCCCAACATTATGAATGAATGAAGCATTTGTTAAACATTTACCATATGCAAAGCACTGTACTAAGACCTGGGTATATAAATACCATATACTTCATAACACCAACATTCTTCCAGCATTATTCCGTGGCTTTGAATCATGGGATACTATAGTCTCAGAGAAAGTAAAATTGCAGATGGTTGAAAGGTAACTGAAGTATGGTAGGTGAAAGTAGGCCACAGCATACTACAAATAATGAATTACATACAGAAAGTAGCATAAAGGATATCAAAGCAGTGTATGACCAGAAGGCCCCCATTACGTGATATATGAAATACGGAACTGACGTTCAGTTTTGTATATAATCCTCTTTTTTGTTCTTTGTCTACAGTAACATTCATGTTTGTGAATGACTTAAGTTAGTGAAAAAGAGAGAAAAGAAAATTTAAATAAATTGTAAGAAAAAAACTAAAAAAAAAAAAAAGAATCTCAATATATAAAAACAGAAATCAGGCTTGTCTATGATTTATTAAAAGGATTCCTCAAGAGAAGTTCCCTTAATACCTTTAAAATGTGGCTCAGGTTATACTTCACTTACAATCAATAAACTACATAAAGTAATTTTATGGTATGATACACACCTGTGCTATGGGGATGTGGAAATAAAGGGGCAATTCACTACTAGGAGGGATCAATTAGTGAAGGTTTTGAGGGAGAGGACAGAACACAGATTGATACGGTAACAGTAATTTTAGAGAAACAACTCACATTTCTACATAGAAATTTGTTAATGTTTACATAGTACTTTCCTCATAATAACCCAATGAGATAGGGAAAGTATGACTAACCCCATTTTCCAGATAAGGAAATTGAGGTCCTGAGATGTTGAGCGATTGATCACACAGCTTAGTACAGGAGCTGAGAATTGAATTCACATACATTCTTTCTACTATACCATGGTCTCTTCCTAATTAATGAATTAACCCACCAATAAATAATGGAGATACAATAGATCTGGAGGGGGCAGGATAGGGTGGGTCAAAAGAAGTTTAGGATCTTCAAACTGACATTCCAGAGCTTGGCCTTGATGTCTCAAAGTTTTGACACTACCAGTAGATGCCTCTTGGGGGATCTCTGGTCTAATCTCCAAGTCTGACATGACAGAGGATGGCAGGATATGGCCAAAATTCAGGGCAGTTAAATTGAAACCTGATATGTATATCATTCATTCAACAGGCATTTATTTAGGACCTACTTTGTTCTGGGCATTGGTACTCTAACCCCTTCCCTGCCAGGCCTTCCCATGACTCATCTGGATCTGGCAGTGGGTCCACAATCATTTACAAATCATCTGCTATTATACTAGCCACTATTCTAGGTGCTGGGGACACAAAGACAGAAATGAAATAGGTCTTGCCCTTGAAAAGCTTACATTCCAACAGAAAACAATGATTTGAGAAATAGTACAGCAGAAGAAATATTCAATCAAGTAATTTAAGACCCAGTTTCAAGTTTGATGCTAACAGAGAGTGCCTGTGAACAAGTCGCTTCTCCTTTGAGCCTACTTTCTCACATAAAGGAGTTGGCTTGATTTTTAAGGACCTAGTTGGATAATTTTTAAGGCCTCTTCCAACTCTTTGAGCATCCCATCTTGTGCTTGGTAACATAAGAGATACCCTAAAAAGGCTCATAATCTACTTGGAAAGACAAAATTAACATGCATGAAAAGAATGAGAAAAAAATTAACTGCCAATTAAGTGACTAAGTGCCTTTAAAATTCAGAAAAATCAGTTAAGACAGGTTGAAGAAAACCAATTATTAAAAGATGGATAAAACTTAGAAAAATGGAGAGAAAGAGGAAGAGCATTCCAAGTGTGAAGGGCAGCAGGCTGAAATAATATGAACTAAGGTGAAGAATAAGCTTTGTTCACAGGATCACGCAATTAGCCTGGCTGAAGCAGAGAATGCAGGTTAGGGAGGAAAGAACAAGTTGGGCTGGCCATCCTGGGGAAGGCCTAGACACTCAAGCAGAAGAATTTGGATTCAGTAGACGAGAGGTTCCTCAAACTGTGTTCCACAGGATATTAGGATTTAGACCAGATGCGACCTTAGAGATAATTTAGTCCAAAGCCTTTATTTTACAAAGGCTCACAGGTGAAGTGACTCGTCTAATACAGATGCTCTTTAGGAGCATCTTAAACTTTTCCCACTCATGACCCCTAATCAGTGCTTCTTAAACAGTTTAAGAAGCGCTGCCCCATGTGAGTAAGTGTTCTAAGAGAAAAATGTCAATTTTAGTGATATCTTTTGCTAAGAATATTGAAGTATGCATCAAAAACTATATTTGTGGAAAGTTTTCAGCATGAAGACAGGCTTACTTTCTCTTATTTTGCTCTAAGAACCCCCTCGATCACTCTTTATTGTGGAAGAATTACAAACCCCTAGGCCCATCACTCGCATTCATTCAGGGAATCAACATTTATGGGTTCCATCCATGTATTTTAAGCCCCCCAAGCATTTCATGGCCATTAGTGTAAGAGACTCTATCGATGGGGAGTTTCCAGTCCACTATCTTTCTGGGCTAATTACACATTACTCTCCCATATGAACTTTATGTTCCAATCAAACTGGCCTACTTGCTAGTCCTTGTGTGTTATATTTCATCTGCAGTCTTTTGCCAAGGCTGCCTCCCATGCCTGAAATGCTCTCCCTCTATAACTCCATGTGTTAGAACCCCCAGCTCCCTTATGGCTCAGTTCAAGTGCCACCAACCCCAATCACTTGGTATAGATCCACTACTTACCTATGAATATATTGTATCCTCCTAGAAGAGAAGCTTGCCTACTTTTTATATGCATCACTCCACAGTCTTGTATAATGCCTGGTACATGGTAGGCAATTTCTAAATGTTTGCTGATCACCAACTTGTTCACTCAGATTAAGGTGCTGGGAGACCTGGTATTTGACATATTTCTGCTGACTGAAAATTCAAAGTCACTAAAGCTTATTCCTTCAACTACTGCTTTTTTTTTTTTTACCCTTTCCAGCTAGGGCAAAGCCTGACAAAAAGGGAAATCTCATTTGGTTAAGACAGGGGAGTCACTGAAAGTGGGGGTGAAATCCAGGCCCTCAGAAAACTTCCCAAGGGTCTGAAATGGAGTCTTCTCCTCAGGCAGGGAAATAAGCCCTTTTTTTCAATTAATAGGCCTGCTTCCTCATTCAAAAATTAACTGAACCATACCCAAATATTTATTCAGTCAGGTACTTCCAGCTCTCAAATTCTATGGTTCCACGACCTTCTTGTGCCTTCAGAGTTCTGTTACCTCCAACCAACTTGAGTCACTTCCCCGCAGGAAGGTCAGGCCCCACCACCCAGGAACCAGAACAGAGACAGTTTAAGAGCCTTTAGAGGAGAACCCCCAGGGTAAACATTTCACACAGCAACCTGATAACAGGAGTTGGGAGATGCCACAATGCCTACCTAGGATCTGTGAGAGAATAAAAACCTTGGAAAACATACTTACAGGCCAACCCCGAATTCCCTCCACCTGGGGATTTGGTCTCCGACTGGGGCGTTAAAAAAGAGGGTCAAGGGAAGCCATGGATCTTTCCCTTAATTGTTACAAGTTACGAAAATGCCCTAAACAGGATTACTTCCCTTTAATTCATCAAGAGATTTATCTAGAATTTTCTTGAAGCCATTTCTATATGATGGTAGTTCCTACAGAGGCAGGGATACAACAGGGACACAACCAGTTCCCTGTTACCAAGCCTACAAGACATGCAGCTATAACAAGACTCAATTATAAATCAGTCAGCCTAAGTTATGTAAGACCGACGTCCCTTTTCTTCCTTCCTACGTACAGGGCAGGCAAAGGACTTGAGAAAAGCATGGGCAGACTACTTTAATGCAGTCTTGCCCCCCAAACAGGGGAGAAGACAGACACCTGGGGAGGGGGAGGGTCGATCTCTCCGATGCAGATGTTTGGCCAGGGGCCTGAGCAGAACAGGAGCCACACCATGTGTCCCTTTAGGCCCCAGTGGGGGACGCAGGATGGGTCAAGCGGGATGGTGGTCCTGGGCCAGGGAATGCAATTGAAGATCAGCGACGAAGCAGAACTGAACCCAGAGAGAGAAAGGGCAGGGGGTGGAATCTCGGTGCCTGCAACAAGGCTGCAGAGCCCTCCTCCCGAAGGCATTCGTGCAAACTGGCCCCGGACTGACCCCCTGACCTCAGGCCTCGACCCTGACCCGGGGGAGCTGCAGCGATGCTCCGGCCTCACTCGGAGAAGCTGGGCCCGCGGCCCCGGAATGGGGGGCATCTTCCTCGCAAAGCCGGGCTGGGGATTGGGGGGGGGGGGCTCTTACCGGGGTAGAGGCCGCCTCGGCCATGGCCCTTGGTCTCGTTCCCAGGCCCCGGGGAGGCTGCGGCGCGGACGAGCGGGCTCCGGGGCAGTCCGGCCCTCTTCTCTCTGCACACGGGACCCACACGGGGGCTTCCGCTGACCAAGCTGGGCTTTGCAGCCGTCAGCGGGGAGGACGCGGATCCAAAAAGCCGAGCGTGGGTCCCGGCCGTCGTGGGCTCGCGGAGGGCCGGCCCCGAGCTGAGCTGCCCCCGCCTCCGCCTGTGCCGCCGCGGTCCGGCCTCGCGCTCAGCTCGAGCCCCTCAGCCTCAGGCTCGGCTCGGCTCGGCTTAATCGGGCCCTCCCCGCGCTCGGCTCCGTGCGGCCCCGGCTCTGCAGCACCTGCGCCCCGGCCTGGCTGTGGCTCCTGCTCCTGCACACTCCTCTGCAGCGCGAGCCGCACAGCTGCTGCAGCTGCCGCCGTGTTGATAACCACTGCATCCTGGGAGCTCAGCCCTCTCATTGGCTAGCCGGGGAAGGAAAAACGCTCGGCGCCTCCTCCCGGCCGCGGAGCGCGCAGCGCCCCCCAGGGCCCGTAGGAGCGAATAGCAGGAAGGCGGCCCCCGCCAGTGTCCTTGGGGCCGCTAGCAGCCGTAGCCCGTTAAGTGGTCGGAGCCGGGTCGCCTGTGCAAGGCCCTCCCGGCGCTGGGCGCAGCCGTGTGCACGTGCTGCCAGCGCCACCCCTTTGGCTCTTACACTGGGGTCTCAGAGTCTTCGTTCCAGGCCTATCAAGCTAAAAACGTCACGGAGCCGTTTGGGAGCCCTGTACAGGATAGACTGGCCCTCGGGGGTCGGCTAGACTAAACTGGGAGTCCAGGAGGACCCCGTCCCCCAACATACACGGGCAGCCCTCCAAGCGCTATAGCGACCCGGAACCATTTCTTGTCTGAGCAGCTAATCATTATGGATCGACATCTGCTTCTAGGCCACCCACACCCGGCTAACGCTAACCTCGACGCCCTATTTGTTCCTAAAAGCCCAAGTCCGATCCCACTCCATGACGCCCCCTCCCTTGAACAGCTTACTGGTTCCTTCTTCCATATGTTCGCATGACATACTCGCTCCCCTACTGGGCTGTACAAGGCCCGGGCAGCGGGAAACGCAAGAGGGGCTGAGTGCTTGGCAAACCCTCTTGTGCACACAAGTACTCATTAAGCACAGCGTGGGGGTCCATACACCACTATCTCCTAGTTCATCTATATGCTGGGGAGGTTAAAGGATAAGGAAGGTGTTTGGGGGCCCAAACCAGCCTTTGCAAAGCAGGCCCAGGAGGTGCAATAGGAGCTTCACCCGGAGAAACAACTTTATTGCTGAGGTTCCAAGAGGAAATACCCCTCCCCCTCCCCCAACTATCAGTCTTATCACCTAAACCCGGCGATTAGGCCTGCACCACTTCCTGCCCAAATGCCACAATTTGAGGTGGTTACATCTGTCTTCAGTAAAAAAGAAACAGTACTTCCTTTCCCAAAACAATGGTGAAGCTCAAGTGAGCCCTGTAGGCGGCCCCTCTCCTGTAGGCCGAGGGAGAGGAAGGTGCTTCAGCCATTTTATGATCTGCCTCCCTCCCCCCAATCCCCCCAATCACGAGAGTTTAGGGCAGACTTCATCTTCCAAACTCCCATGACAGCCTCTCAGAGGGAATATGGGGGTGGGGGTGGGGGTGTGTTCAAGAGCAAAAAGTACAAATGGGAAACTCACAACTGATTCCTCCCAAAGGGCAGCTACCCTTTGGAATGGGCAGGAGGTAGCTGGTGCCACTACCAAGAAAAAGGCTTTACCTGAACAGAGTCTGCTTTTCATTGCAGCCCCCCTAACTCTAGGGTTTTTTAATAATCCCCTTACTGAAGACCCCTCATGCATAGATGAAGTAGGAAGCCATCCATATTTGAAATCAAAGTTGCCAAATATTTCCTTAAGTGGCTGCTGGTTGGTGTCTAAAATTCTTCTTTTAAGTGTTAGCTTTTACAAAAAGTTTTGTCCCCAGTTGCAGAATACAAATATGTTAAGTTTTATCAGCTATTCTTCCATTGTTATTCCTAAGAATAAATGTTGATTGGAGGAGGAGGATGGGGAAATGAGTATGAATACTTTGAGGTGGGAGGAGTGCATCCTCAAAAAGTGAGTCTTAACCTCCCCCCCAGCACTTTTATATTCATTATCTTATAGCAGCCCAATAATCACCTTCCCCCCCCCCAAAAAAAAGGGCAGGAAAGGAATTATCGTCCCCAACCAACAGATTAAAAAACTGTGACCCAGAGAAATCTGGTGATTTTACCAAATGGCAAAGGGGAAAGTCTAGCATTCTTTCTTCCAGTTTGGGCTCATTCTACTTCACGTGTGATGAATGAGTTGGAATAACTAAACAGAGTCAATATGCACCAGAACAGGTGTGTCTGTTTTTTTGTTTTTGTTTTGAGAGATAAGTAAAATTTTCAAACAAAGCCTAAGGGCTCCAGTTGAAGGTCATTAATAGCCAGCTCAGCTGCCTTCCTCTCTGCTGGGTGGGGAGGATGGGGTTTTTATCGCCCAAGTTAATTTTTTGTTATCCATGGATATAGATGTATGGCTAGTCCAGGAGAACTGAATTTTTTCTGGTTTTTCTATAAAAGCACAAGTCAAATTTGGATGAAATAACAGATACCATTGTATAAATGGAAAAAACACTGGCAGAACCAAGTCCAATGTCCAATTGAGCCAGGTTATCCTGAACCTCATCTATCTATAAAAGGAGGATGATGATCCTTGCCTCAGATACCTCAGCTGTGTGTGCGGACAGCACTTTATAAACCACAAAGAGCTACAGAAATGTAAGATAATTATTACTAGTAGGAATGTAGAAGAACTTTGGATAAAAAAGTTAGGGAAAATGCTGGACAAATGCCACGCCTACTCTGGTGGCCTGAGGATAGTAATCAAAGGCTCTAGAATCCTAGCTAGATCAAGGTTTAGTCTTCTTAAAAGAAGACCACCTTTCTTTTGAGCTTTATATGTGTGGGTGTGCACTTGTATAGATGTATATACACACATCCAACATATATGCAGACATTTGTGTGCATACACAGAGTACATGTGTTTACACACACACATAAATAAATATATATATACACACACACACACACACATACACTCACAGAGCCAGATGTACTGTGTGTAAACCTCTCTCTTTACTTACATGCACACTCAGAGCCACTGCATGGCAACTTCTCTCTCTCTCTCATACACACACACACACACACACAGCCAGTCACTGTGTGTAAACTACTCTCCTCACACTTTCTACACACACACACACAGGCACTGTGTGTCAAGTTCTACCACATCTCTCCTGTACTGTTTTGAGATAAACTCAAGACTACTTATGCAAGCAATAAAAAAAAAAAATCCATTGGAAAAAGAAATTCAAGACAAATATATCAGAACAACAAAAAAGGAAAAATCATGACAGTGATTTTCCTCAGGGACACTATAAACCCAAATGCACATTGCTCTGGAGGCCCGAGTATACAAAATAGTACCTGGGCCCATTTCAGAGCTTCAGTGGGAAGTCCATGGAAGGGGAGTGAGGAAGTGCCAAGGTGGGTTACAGTGGGGCTTGTGAGAGGGGCCAATTTGCACACCTAGGTCCCGGCCTACCAATTGGGCCCAGTGCTAAGGACTCCCTCCCCCCAAGAGCCCATTTCCATCTCTTTTGACCCTCCAGGCTCAGTGACCCCGAGGGACAGATAGCAGACTTACAGAATAGAAAATGTAGGTGTCTGACCACACTCATGATTCCAATTATGTGTCACCTGCCCAATGTTCTAGTACAAAAAAAAAGAAAACCTTCCCTAAATTGTCCTAGGGCAAGAGTTCTGTGAAACAGAGAGAACAATGCCAGGCAGGTGGAGATAATGGGCTTCACCATTCTCCATGTCGAGCAGCAGCATGAAGACATCAGGCTCTTGCCACTACAGGTGCTGGAGGGCCCTACTGGAAGGTGAAGAGTTTACCCCACCCCAGGGGCCCTTTGGGCTCAACCTTCCTCAGCACGGCTGGGGCGGGCCAGGGCCAGGCTTCCTTTTTTGGCACAGTGAGGACTATCCTGATGCTTTCTGGAGTGGGTTTGCATGTGGACAGCCAGGTGGTGATTGCGATTGAAAGTCCTACCACACTCAGAGCACTGGTAGGGCCGTTCACCAGTATGGATGCGCTGATGCCGGAATAAATCTGAGGGTCGCCGGAAACCCTTGCCACAATAGGAGCAAGTGGGACAGCCCCGGCTGTTGCCTGTGTGCAGGCGCTGGTGCAGCAAAAGGCTCTTCCGCTGCTCAAACAAGCGCAGGCACTCGCTGCAGTGGTAAAGCCTGGACGTCCGGGTGGATGAAGGCCGCTGCTCCTGGCACGGCCTCCCAGCCAGGGCCTGGTGGCTCTCTGCCTCGTCGGGGAGCCACTGGACGATGGGGCCAGGCACCACCACCTCACCTGGCTCCAAGGAGGCAGGAGGCCCTCCCCACGTGTCTGGCCAGCTGCCCTGGACTGCCCAGTCCTCATCCTCCAAGTGGCTCCGCTGGTGAATGGTCAGGTTGATCTTCAGCCTGAAGCTCTGACCACAGTCTGGACACGGGAAGGCCCGCTCTCTCCGGCGTGGGAGGACACGAGGTGGCTCACTAGCAGCAGGAGGTGGGGGCTTCTCCCTCACCCGACCCTTTGGGAGACCAGGGCGGGGGTGCTCACTTGGCTCTGCTGTGTCTTCTCTGCCTTCGGCAGGAACTGTGTGTTCTGCTTCGCTGGAGCCCTGCCCCAAGTCTAGCTGCTGCGGAAGTGCCTCATCCACTTGACTCTCTGTTTTGATGCTCACAAGTTCATCATCTGGTGAAAAGAATCCACATGTGGTCCTTCAAACAAACCAGGGTCATTGCCACCTCCATGCTAATCAAAAGTGCACCTTTTATTCCAGCCCAACTCAGATCCTCCCATCCTCCCAAGGTTTCCTTAACCACCGGCAAACCTATGATTCTCTTTCTTCTCCACATTTAATGAGCTGGCAGGGAGCTTCAGATCACCGAGCCCAACCCTCTCACATCACGGATGAAGAAACTGAAGTTGAGAGGGGCAGTGACGCCCCCAATGTCACACTGCAAGTCGGTGACAGGACCAGTGAGCAAGGGCAAGGAACCAGAAGCACTAAACTGAGAAGAGCGCAGTGTTTGCTGACCGGAATTCTCTCTCGGCTCCAGTAAGAGAAGGTCAAAGGCAGAGACTTGCTGGAAATCAGGGGAATGAAAGGTCCTATGGTTTTCAGAACTAAGTCCGAGAGCTCCTGACCAGAATCCAGAAAGCCCCCCTGGCCTTGTTAAGTAGCTGTTGACCCAGCCACCCTCTTCTTCACCTGCTCAAATCCCACCCCCTTTATAAAGCCTTCCCTGACTGCTCATCCCCCTGGAATCATCTCTTCTACCTGAATTCCTTTAGCACTCACAGTCTGAACCACACCGTCCGGCACTGGATTCCATCTTGCCTTGTACCATTTTGTTTCCTCAAATAGTTTGTACTTCTAAAAGGCAGGGGTTGTGGTTCTATCATTATCTCAAATAAAATAACGTAAAGAAAATGGTATGTAGACTTTAAGGCATTATATAAACCAAGAACTATCATTATTGTTGTTGTTACCATTACTCTGTCTCCTCCTTAACAGATGTCTGATAAATAAACATCGCCTGCCCACCTGAACTAGACCCGCTGCAGTGGGAGCTGGAGCAGGACTAAGCTAGAAGAGAGATCTATGGGAGACCCTAGAAAACTGTTACATGGGCAGGAGCCAGGCCTCTTCCTGCTACTCCTCCTTCCCTCCTCCTCAGCCTCCACCCAAAATGGCAGTCTGGGTCTTCCGTCCAAGGCTCATCTTTGATAATCCAGGCATAGTCCATTCCATACCAAGGTCAGTGGGAAGTTAGCAATGGTTATGGATAAATGAGGCCTGGCAGCTTGGCCAGAGAACAATCAGGAGCCTCAAGCGGGGATAGATCCTTTTACCTCCTGTTTCCCAAACTCCATAGAAGAGGAGGTAATCACATCACTGCCGAAAGACTCCCTTCGGGGCAGAACCAAGTAGCTGAGCTGATGCCAAGAGGAGGGAAGAAGTAGAACCTCTGGAGACCAGGCTCAATCAGCCAACTGGAGCTGACTTTTTTTTTTCTTTGCACCAGCTGCAGAGTGGGTATCCTGGTTCAGTGAATAGAGGGCTAGGCCTAGAGTCACGAAGACCTGAATTCAAATTAAGCCTCAGTCACTTACTAGCTATGTGACCCTAGGTAAGTCACCTAACCCTGTTGTCTTCAATTTCCTCAACTACAAAGTGGGGACAATAATAGTACTTACCTCCCAAGCTTGTTTAGAGGATCAAACAAGAAAAAAATTTGCAATATGCTTATTATTAGTACAGTGCCTGACACACAGGAGGCATTTAATATACGTTTTTTCCCTTCCCCTATCACTTACCAAGTCTCAGGTAGGGCAGGATTTCCCTCTGTGGGAAGACTGATGCTTCTTCCCCATCTGGTGGTTCTTCCTCCTGTTTAATCGAGGACAAAACATTGATGCCAGCTTGGGGGGGCTCTGTGAGAGAGAGAATCCCATTAAGGTCTTCCTTGGATGCTAGATGTCATGACTGGTACAAGAATGGGACTCAGCATCACTGTTTCCCCAGCAGGTGTGAAACATCTTTGCACACCCTAAGCAGATACCTACTAGTAAAGGCGGATCCCCATCAGGTTCCAGATGAGGACCTGAAGTCAGTCACCCATCAACCATGGCTCAGGAGGTTAGAGCACAGAGTTAATGAGGCCAACATCTCGGAGGCAAAGAAGCCCAGGTTGCTGTCAGCCTGTTAATGACAAAAACTGACATTTCTATAGTGCTTTAGGTTTTACACACATTTTCTAATCAGTCCTAGGAAGTAAGCAGCACCTGCCTATTCTGTTCATCGTATGGGTGAGGAAACTAAGGCACAGGGGAAGGGATGGTTTGTCCAAAGTCACTCAGCTACCAAGGGTCAGATCTCCTAACAGCAGGTCTAGAACCTACTGTACTTCACTCCCCGATCCCTCAGGACAGACTGGAACAGACTGCCAGAAGAGTGTGGAGGACTCTCTCATCTATCCCATTGCCACTTCTCAAAAAACAGCTCTAAAGGGCACACAGTTGGTCAGTAGAATTGTCCTCCTATAAACAACACCCTAAGGGTACAGTGCCCTGGACTCAAAATTATAAGAGGTACAGAGGAAGAGAGACAGCTCGTACCCTTGGAAAACAACCTGATAGCAGAGATCAGACATATACATATATATATCAATAAGAAAATCCAGAAGGCAGGAGATGAAAGGAACAAAGTTAGGTGAAAGCAAATAGGGAGATAGTAGCAAATGGCCAAGTCCTAAGAAAGCAAATAATTTCGGAGAAGATTAGACAGTCTAAGATAGGAGGAAGAAAAAAGGAGAGAAGCCCTGTGTCTTTCTAAAGGGTACAGTGCTGTTCTGTTGCTCAAGGTCTACATAACAGCAAATGACATTAAATTAAGGCAAAATTATTTCAATCTAACTTAAGGTAATTTTTTTGATCACCAGAGATACAACCCCTAGGGGCTTGTTCCCTAAATGTCTTTGAGAAGAGACAAGACAAACTTTTTCCTGGGTGACTCCCCTATGTTTCCTCTGCTGCAATCAAACTGTTATACTCACAGTCCCCAAACTCATCTGGCACTATCCCAACTCTGGTTCAAGTTTCCTCCACCCCAAGAGTAATGTGACTCCCCTTTTTTTGCAATGATAAAATCAAACCTCTCCTTAAGATAAAGCTCAAATCCCACTTTTGCTAAAAAGAATTCCTAGACCATCCTGATCTCTCCTTTGATCTAATGCACTTATTTATTCTCTATGCTCTTGGTAAAAAAAACAAAAACAAACCCACATACCATTTTATGCCATCTTATCACAATAACAGTATTTAGTTTTTCATGTATGTATATCTAATCTTTCTAACTAGACTGGAAAATCCTTTAAAAAAGAGACTATGCCTTATAAACAGGTAACAACTGACATATAATTATACAGAACTTTAAGGCATATAAAGTACTTTCCTCACAAAAACTCTGTGAAGTAGATAATATAAATTATTCCCATTCTGCTGAGGGGAAACGATGGTCAGAGAGAGAGGTTAAGTGACTTCACCATGGTGACAGCTGATACTGATCCTTTTTGGGGGTCCATACCTGTGATTTAATCAGCACGGAGAACTCCCTGTGTGGAAATGCCCTCCACCACTGCAAATTCACAACTTATCTGCAACCCATTACTTTGGAGAGTTGCTTAAGGCTCTGAGAACTCAAGTGACTAGTCAGGACTAGAACCCAAGTCTTCCTGACTCCCGAGCTGGCTCTCTATCCACTATATCATGTTACTGATCTATACCATACCAGTTAGGATATACACCTCTTTGGAGCTCAGGTAGTTCCCAGCACATGTCTTTTTAAGGAGAAGGACTATTTTAGTAAGGATGGGAGGCCCTGTGCTAGCTATAACACATGGGATGTAAAGAGCTATAAAATATAATCAAAACCCCAGGGAAACTTTTCATCTAGTTGGGAAGATATGTCACTTTCATGTATAAACATAAGGTAGCATGTGCTGTGTCTGATTCTGGTAGGGAACTCTGAAGCTAGTCAGAAGACCTCAGTTCACAGCCTGGCCACCTGTTCCCTGACTGGCCACCAGTGAATGTCTTAACTTCTCTGAGCTCCACAGGGTTAGGATGAGGACAGTGCTGTAGAAACCTTTCGATTTTTTATAAATTGAGTTATTATAAGTCTAAAATCAGCAGCACAGACAGGCAGTTTTACCAGGAGATGGCCCAAGGGCCCAGGTCAGAGAAGGCAAGTCTAGCAGAAGAGCACAGGATCCGGAGGGTTTGGTTGGAAGGGACCTCAGGGGCTATTTGGGCCAATTTTCTTATTTTACAGTTGAAGAAATTGAGACTCAGGAAGTGATGTGACTTGCCTAGGACCAACTGAAGAGGTAGTGAGGATGAGAGGTGAGATTTGAATCCAGGTCCTCTGACTCCAGAGTTAGTGATTGTTGCACTGTTCCAAGAGACTTCAACTGGGCTTTCAAAAGGAGGCAGGATTCAAATAAATAAAGAAATGAGAGTTCATTCTAGGCTGAGGGAATATTAGGAGCAATGACACGGAGGGAGGAAAACGCATAATTCATTTATGGAACAGTGAGTAAAAACTAGTGCAGCTAGAGAAGTGGAAAGAACACTAGATTCCCTCAGTCAATAGATGTCAGGTGAACAGCCTGAACCTTGGCTCTGACATTTAACAGTGGTATGAAAACGAATAAAGTGACTTCATCTCTGTGGGCCTCCATTTAACTGCCAAATGGGCAAAATACTTGAACTTGTTTACCTCACAGCGTTTTGAGAAAAGCACTTTGTAAACCTCAAATTTCTATGAAATTGTGAATTATTACTATTACTGTTCTATGAGGTTAGAATAGGCCCTGCCCTACAACTCACTGCCCTCAGAAAATCTTTGCCCTTCCCCTCCCCTCCAGGAGGGCAGCAGCTACAAAAGAAGCTCTGAACAGTTCCAGAAGTTGGGCCCCCAAGCCATGTGTCAAATGTTTGTCATCTACTTCAGCTCCTGCCCGGTCCTCTGACTCACCAGGTAGGCTTGGTTCAGTTGGGCTTGCTTGTGCTTCTGAGTCTGGAGGATCTGTGAGAACTGGTTCTTCCTTTGTTTCCTCTTGGGCAGGTTGAAGTTGCTTGGAAATATACTCTGCAGAAGGTAGGTCTGGGGCAGGGGGAAATATACATGACTAATATCAAGGAGAATATATAGATCCAGGGTAGATCTGTCGTATTTCCAGGATTCACCAGAAATCTCTTGGAATTTCTAACAGAAAACCTAATTCTCAGGCAATTATTTTTCTCTGGGGTAGTGACTAGGTGCAGAACCACTGCCTGCCTTGTACCTGTGCCTCTCTGAGAATCCTAATGAAATCTAGAACGTTAGCACTGGCTAAGACTTCAGAAATGATCTTGTCTAGTGGCTTTGTTTTAAAGACGAAGAAACTGAGGCCCATAATGATGAAATGATTTTACAGCTGACAGTGCTTAGCACTAGAGGCACACCTAGAACTGAAGTTCTGGATTCTCAGTCCAGTGTTTTCTATTACTCTGCACTGCAGTAAGGGTGAAGGGGAATAGCTCTTTGTCCCAGGGTAAAAAGAATGGCATAAGAAACTGATATGGATACAAATGAAGAAACTCTGAAGGGCTGGGGTTGGGAGGGCCAGATTACAAATCTGGAGCCCTGCAGTTAACTAGTTCTTATTGGTGTGGTCTTGGCCCCTGTTTCCCACACTCTGAGCCTCAATTTTGCTTTCAGAAAATATAAATTGACATAAATACCAAAATCTCCCCAGGGTACAAAGGAAGTGCTAGTGGAGAAACTAAGCACAAATCTGCATATAAAAATGAATGGTAGTATTTCCTGTCAGCACTGCATTCCCAGAGTCTTCCATGTTGTTTCTACCTCATACTTACTAGTACTTAGTTTTCCAGGACATGACACTTCCTCATCTGAGCCCCACTGGTCCTTATGGCATGGTTTTTCTCCTCGCTCGATCTGAGAGAGAATATCAGGCTTGGAAACAGCATAGTCTATGCACAGGATGGAAGAAGAAGACACAATCAGTCTGACTACTGGATGTGGGCAGGTAGAGTCAACCAAGGAGATAACAAAGCAAAGCACTTCAAGTCAGCCTGGAACACATTAGTGGCACACATACTCCCCCTTCCTATGGAAAGATGAAGCCCAGGCCCCCCACAAGTCACTACCCGAAGGCCGAGGGGCTGAGATCAAATCAAAGTCAAATCTACAAAATGCATGACCCCTAGAAGCTCTTTAATGGGGACCAAGTCTGGTATCTTACCCAGGGAGACCAGCATCTCATAGTTGCCCCTCATCACATGCTTGTAAAGCTCCTTCTGCCACTCCTCCAGCTGCCCCCACTCCTGCTCCGAAAAATACACGGCCACATCATCAAACGTCAGGGGCACCTAGAACCACAAGTATCATACACTCTCACACACATACACACAACTTGGTCTCCCCTGCTCCCACCATTCCTGGTCTAGAAGAGATTACCTTGGGGACCTCGCCCTTGCTGCCTGGGGGGAGCCGCAGGATCCAGAAGTTCCTGTTTCTCAGCAGGTTCTCCATGTTCTCCAGCCTCCTCTGCAGCAGTCCGTACTCCTGGAGCAGGGTGCCCAGCACGGCCCACCTGCCCTCCAGCTGGTTTTCAATCTCCACAGCTACCCTCTCACAGTCTGCCAGCTTTTTCTCTGCTGTCCCTGTCCGACCCTCTAAGGTGAATAATCGGGCCAGGCACAAGTCCACCTTTTTTTCCACAGCTTGAATGGCAGCCACCACAGTCCACAGGGTGATCTCTGGAGAGTGCAAGCATGAGTCCTTCTCAGGAGACACCTGCAGAGCTGGGGAGGTCAGCAAAGCTCTCAAGGATGCAGACTGTATATCTTGCTCAAGGGCCTATTAGCAAAGAGAATTAGAGATGGACTCAGGATTATAGGATAACATATTTTGTTTTATTTTTTAAAATAATCCACCACTTCAAAAAGAAACCTGGGAAGAACAACTCCTAAGCTCTAATAACACAGTCAATACGGTGCTGTCAACATTGTAGGAGATATTGTAGGGCTTTATACTATGCTACTCTAGCAGGCATCCTCATTACCTTATTACAACATTACTACAAAAGATTACAATACAGATTAGAATACAAGATTTTATTACAATCCCTTAACAGGCATATCCACCTCCATCGTCTTCCAAACAATCTTTTTTGATGGCACCTGTCTAATCTTACTAAGGCTATAAATTACAGAACAGCTGTCAATCTGAATTAGTAGAGGGGGCCTTTTTAAATAGAGGATTCTCTAGTCTATTCCAATTCTCTACAAAAATCTAGGCCAAAAAATATCTAATGCCAAAATAATTTCAAGTCTCAAAATCCTGCACCTGAAGAACGACAAAAAAGAAATCGTGTGTGTATCAGAATATTTATAGCATCATTCTTTGTGGTAGCAAAAGGACTGAAAACTAAGTAGATGCCTATCAATTGGGGAATGCCTGTACAAACCATGGTACATGAATACACTGGAATTTAATAACTAATGAGCCCAGTGAATGCAGGGAAGCATGGAAAGACTTAAATGAACTAATGCAAAGTATAACCAGGAAAATAACATGTAAAATTGCTAATTTACAGCTACATGTTGAAATAATGAAACAATCAAAACTGAATGCAATGAAATTATAATGACCAAGCTTGGCCCCAAAGAAGAGGTTTGAGAAGACACCTTCCCCTCATTTGTTTGCAGAGTTGGAGGATAATGGGTGTGGAATAATGCATTCAATGTCTGACTTTTGTGATATATTGGCTAGTTTTGTGGAACTTTTTTCTTCTTCATTATAAGAGAAGATGGCTCTCTGGGGCAGAATTAGAGAAGAGAAATGTAGGTGATTTTTTTTAAAGGAAGATAACAATAAAACATTTAAAACAAAGAATGAGCTAAAATTTAAACAAAATCTAAAAGTCCCAAATTAATTACCAACCAAAGCTAGACATTGTCCAATATTAAAATTCCACTATTAACAGAGGAAATTTGTTTTTCTTCCTCCAAATAAAAACTCAGACAGTAGAAAATACTACTAATGATCCAATGTTAAAAATTGGACTAGAGTCAGGAAAACTAGGTTTCTTAGTCATGACTCCGTCACTCATTTGCTGAGTAGCGTTGAGGTAAGCCACTTCAATCTTTGGTACCTCATACCTGTCTACCCATCATCCCTCAAAGAGTAACTATTAATGGGTGAAATGATGCTGGAAGAAAAAAGCAGACATTATTAGCCCAGTTTAAAATTACTTCAAAACTCTAATGGATCTGTGATTCCAGTGATTCCTGTCCCTGATCTCCCATGTTTACCACTGGGAACCCACCCAAAGTGCTGAGCTCTTTCCTGGAGCTCTTCAGTGAAAGTCAAAAGGATACTAACAGAGCAGCAGCATGACAGCTATCAATTAACTGTTTCTCCCTTAGGCTACAGAAGCAGCCCATCTTTTTGGGTGCCAATACATAAAAAATATGTGTGTGTGTGTATGTGTGTGTATACATATATATACACATATACACATACATACATACATTATATACACACATGTTTTCTGATATCTATTTCAATCTAATTGGTTTCCTTTGTAATTCCATGTATTTTATGTCTTTAAAAAAATTATTCTGAAAAAGGGTCTCTAGGCTTCACCTAGGACACACAACAGGGCAAGGACTTTCATGGATAGCTTCCTTTATACCAGCTCTTTTGCCGAATTCTTTGTAAGACAGCTCCATTAGCCTTTGTATGATGCAAGGACCACAGATTAACAGCTGCTGGGGACCTTAAACATCTGGTCCAGCCCCTTCATGATACAAGAGACGACCCTGAGACCAGTGACTTGGCCACGATCACCTAAGTGTAGGTGGCCGCGGCAGGACTGGAACCCAAGTCGTCGGACTCCAAACCCATCACTCTTTCCGGGGGCTGCCGTAGTCCCAGGACTCACGATCACACCCGATCTCAGGCTGTCTCTCCTCCGCCACCATCAGGGGTGCGCCCCATCATTGCGGACAGCGGGGCCGCAGTGGAGAGGGGGGTCCCCGATTCTCAGCGATCCGCACACTCGCGCCCTCGGGGCGGGGCTGGGGCGTCGAGTCCCCACGCGGGCTCGGGTCTCCTGGACCCACCCATCCTGCGGCGCCCCCCAGCACACACGACCACGTCCAGGCAGGGCAGACCGCGGCCGGAAACGCGCGGAAAGCCACGGCCGCTGCGGGCGATGGGGCCGAGCCTCGCGCCAAGATGCGAGGACCCCCACCCGCGCCGCTCTCCCTCCCGCCTCCCTGTCTCACCGGAGCCGGAGCCGCCTCGGCCATGGTCCCCCGGCGCCCCGCGCGGGCGGGTCTGCCCGCGGCCTGGGCCGCTCGCCCCGGGCGGGAGGCGCTGGTGCCGAGATGCGGAGCCAGAGCCGGCCCGCGCGCAATGCTGTCGACACCGGCTGCCCGAAGAAACTGGAGCCAAGCCGCCCTGTGGTCTCCGTCAAGCCCCGCCCCGGGGCCGAGGACACGTGCCGCCAGGCCCTGCGAGAGCACGCCCGGAGCGCCGACAGCGCCCCCTGCGGACCGTAGGACCTCGGCGTAGGCCGAAGGGCGCAGCTGCGCACGACGGCCGCTTTGTTCCGCCCGGGCTCCGGGTTTTAAATCCACATTCGCTGGGCGACGTACGAAGTGGATTTTAAAAACAACGCACTTAAAAGATGCCGAACCTGAGCAATTTTACTAACCTAGAGCAGTCACGCCGAGGGTGTTTTTAGAGGCTCTCCTTAGGGGCATTTCCACCTGGGGCTGTAATGAATGTAAAGACAGTATCATTACATTTACTGCTGCAAGCCTCAGGGGCGGAGGCCGTTCCCATCGCCGCCCCTCCCCAAGCACAGCAAGCCCTGGCAGGGCCCAGACCCAGGCGGAGACTTCGAGTCCGGACGAGTCAGCGGAACTACACTTACCCGTTTAGGACGAACTCCGAGCGTCAGAGTGGTTGTTACTGGATGGAAGGGGAGGGTTGGGGGCGCTGGTCAGGGTGTGAACTTGGATGGGTAAAGAAAAAAGGGCGTCCAGCCGGCGGGGCATCAAACCGGTGGGGAGGGGTCGGCCCAGCCCTCGGATCTTAGAACTAGGTTCCTTCAACCTGAAACTGCCACCGACTGCAACATTAGGCAAATCACAATCTCTGAAGTCATCTTCAAAATAACTGATTTCTAAGGTTCCTTCCCGGTAAGAATATAGGAGATCCTAGGATTTATATGTGGAATAAAAATGAAAAGCTTTATGATCTTCTCTTACTGACAGTTATTCATACATATATATATATATCTGTATATGTATGTATCCACTGCACACACATACCATCCCCACAACCCACCACCCATCAGTGTTCTACAACACAGCAGGTGCTTAAAAAATGTTTATTGGGTTGGCCATTTTTATTCTTACATGTAATCGAATTCTTAAAATTGCCTTGAACCCATAAGATTAGCTCTCAATCATGAAAAAAATTAAAAATATAAATTATGTATTTCAAACTTCAAAGTCCAATGGTGAGGATCACAAGCCATTACCCCCATAACTCTTAGCCATGTTCTCCCATAACTTCTGCTAGATATTTTAAAGTGATATGCATTCCATATGGTTCCACTCATAAAGGACACCCTACATAGTCATTTTTTTAAATCACTATTTGGCAGTGACTACTTCATTTCTTTAAATCACTGTCCAGTAACCAAGAGAACTAGCTTCTTCTCAAAGAAGGTGGGAGAATATGCCCTAAGGACACACCACTGGGAAAACAACCAAGTTCAACAGCAGATTCTCTTCCAAGAACTTAAGATTCACTGCAAATACAAAGACAGAAGGAAATCCTGAGAACTAGTGGTTTTAAGAGTTTAAATATTAAGCAAAAGGAGATCAGGAGTATCATACCATATTAACTTGGAGCCAGAAATTTGGGGGAAATTTTTTTTAAATCACCCACTACAGACCTTAAAATCTACTACATACTGTTGGAAATAAAAATATATTCCATACAATTTGTTACTGTTAAAATGCTGTCTAGTATATTCAAAAATGTATAACTTGGTGGTGGATTTTTTTTTAATGTGAAAATGTTTTCATTTTTTCCATTTTACAAAAAATAAACAGTATCTTCCTGTTCTGGATCTTAACTCCTCCTCCCTTTCCTAGACATTTGCATCATTTACATCTGGAAGGAACCCCTGAAGCTCTTATCTTTCTCCTAAGACCAGGGCACCAAGGTAACCAAGATCCCCAAAACGTTTAGCCGCTAGATGCCAGGAAACAATCTCCTTTGTGAGGCCTTCTTGACTGTGCTATTTTTGACTCTAAGCTAGACTTTAATTAGAAAAAGCCCTGGTTCCTGTTCCTAGGTCACCCCAATATCCTTTAAACAAGGGCTCTCTGCCATGCTCATGTAACAGGACCAGAATAAGTCACTGGATGGTTGCTTTTTTTTTTTTTTAATGCAAAGATCCCTATACACGGTCCAAGAGATGTGAGCTCACCATCGAAAGACAAAAATCCCAACCTATCCAAATCCAACCCTCATTTGTGTTGCCCTACAAATTTGCCACAGTGCTTAGCTGCCACCCAACATGCTGAGGGCCTTCCTCACATTTTCCTTACAATTGATGGTTACCAAGAGTGTGTAGGCTGTCCCTCAAATCTATACGTCCAATACTTAACTTTTCCAAAGTTATTTTTCTGACATTTTTTATACTACTTTTCATTAATAATTTCTCATTTGTAATGTGCTGTTAGGCTAATACCCAATATGCAGTTCTCCAAAGCCTATGAATGAACATTAGCTTCAGTTCTTCAGAGAGTAATATTCCTTGACTCAAAACTACACACCACCACCAGAAACTTTGTTCCAAGGGAAAAGGTTGGAGTTACTGATGTCATTATAGGAGTCTCTGCAGTATTCCAGGGCTTGATGCAGTAAACACATCATCTACAAACAGGAGTATTTGGAGATTCTCACCACTTATAGAGAACTTACAGAGAATTTCACTTAACCTCTGGCATGCATACACATCCATTTTATATTCCACTTGCCACCAATAATTTGAGGGTCACTGAACAAAGTTCTCTTTGTCTTTATCTTTCAAGATAGTTTATGATTTCAATATTATGGGAGACTTTTTGGAGAAGAGCCTTTATGGCAATGTTTTGCCTAACAAAATCAAATGCTTTTTGTGCCCAATAATCAGTAAGCATGATAGGAAGATGTATCTTTCATGCCTTTCAGTCAGTTATCTGATGTGACCTATTGCTTGAAATGTGCCTGTTCCTTAAGCTCATGAAGGACTCCCTCAATGTGTACCAAGGATGATAAAAATTTGTATAGATGGGAAAGTAGGCATACGGATTAGGAGCTATTTTTCAGATCCTCTTGGTTGCCTTTTTTGATAAGAGGGTCTGAGATTTTTTACGCCTACAGTTTCCTCTCCTTTCACAAACCTTGAGAATTGATTCCTTAGTGCCCTCAAAATTAGGTCACCCCAAGCACATAACTGCCTCTCAGTACAATCCAAATATCTTTTCTGTTGGTTTTCTTCAGTGCTATTTCCACTTCTTCCATTATGACATCCAGAACTATACTGAATCCAAATGTGGTAGGTCAACTATCCTTGACAGTAAAGTTTGCTATAAAAATCTTTATAGAACTTTTGCAATTTTGCAATGTATGCTGTCCTTTCAGCTTCATTCTAAAATACCTTCAGATGACTTTAAGTCTTTCACCAAGCTTTCTTTAAACTGTCATATAAGTGATACCTCTCCATCTCCCACCAATCCATTCTTTTCTGTAAGATTTTGCATATGACCTGTTATTCTAAATTAATATTGTCCTTGACACTTTACTTAGCCAGATAAAGTTATATTTACTGGCTGATGCAGTTTGTAGGTATTTTGGTTCCTTCTCCATGGAAAATTATTTATATCAGTTAAATATCTGCATAAAACTGTTATAATCAAGCTTTATGTCCTTTTCTCCATCTACATCCCATTTTTTTGGCATCAATTGTTTAAAATAGGTAAGGTTGCCATTTTATTGCATACCATTTTTATCATTTTTATTTTTCCAAATTCTCCTAAATGAATATCCATCCCCTTAACTTTGTACTAATTCTGATTTTTGCTCTAACAAGTCAGTGGTCTAACTGCATATACACAGTTGATTTAGGAATGATCCTCATATCACTGATGTCATTTTCTGTCTCTTAAACAATTTCATTTTTTTGGTCATTTTGAGCCTATGTACTTCCCATTTCTTTTCTCAAATGAAATATTTGCAATGTAAAGTTGTGAAGCTTCTGTGTGGTCACCAAGGGTTTGACCTCTTTCCTTACTTTTGATCCATACTGTTCAATAGATATTTCTTCAAGTTGGCCTTAAGGCTAAGAAGCACTTGATTTGATCTGTATGACCTTGGGTCAGTTGCTGGACCTCTAAGAGCTCTAGGCAACTTTCTAAAGCTCTACGTGGCAAGGCAATGACCTTGCTGTGGCAATGGACTTTTCCTCACCTAGGAGTTGCTTATACGAAGTTCCCTACTCTATGTACTTCCTCTGTGCATACCTTTTGGCACAGAAGTCATCCAACATCAAGGTTTATATTAATTCAATCTGGAGGGTTGTCAAATTCTTCATAGAAGAACAAGATTCTGAATTCTTCAGGGGAAGAATTATATGAATGGAGTAACAATTGAACGAGAGTGTCATAACTATATCCTTTAGACCATCAGTTTACCATACAATGGAACTGATGGCAAACCTCTCTTCAGGAGAAAAGGCCTTGGTTCTGCTTCTTACTGGCACTGCCCTGTACTACTCCCAAAACATGTTAGAGAAATTCTGCAGTGGCCTGTTTTGTTTTTGGTTTTTTTTTGTATGCCAATACTATGTTAGCCTCAGGACAAGCTGTTTGACAAATACCCAACAACTGCCAACACTTCCGTATCCTCACAGTCTACTATACAGTGTATACTTTTAACTCTGTAGGCCATATATCAGGCATTGATCTCTTCAGCAACCTTCTCACACAACCCTGCTCAAGCTCTTGTTGCAGCTGCCACCACTATTTCAGCTAATTAGGTCAGGGAGGCTGAGGCATCTCACTGCCACTCTTACATTCTCATGATCCAAGAAGCAATGACTCATCTCAAGACACCAAGGTTTTGCAGTATTAATTTACTTGCAGTCTACGGTCTACCTACCTTATCTATAGCAGCGGTCAACAGTCTCCTGACGAATATCATCAGCCTTTATTAAGCTAAGCACTCTTCTGGAATAGACCAAGCAATTCCTCAGGTATAAGGTAGTAAGGTCAGGTGGCTGACAGGTTCCTCTGGAAACATAAGTTAATAGTACCTATTCAAATACCAAACATCAGCTTTCTACTACGAAGTTTTTTTAGTGTTGAAATAATTAGGAAACATCCTCTATGATCAGCAACCCCAACTGGTATGTGGTGCCTTGTCTCCTGCCTGACATGCCTCTTTATATTGCCCACTGGCATTCCCTGCATATGAATGGTAACTCTCCTTGTATCTGTGGTGCTCTAATCCCCAGTTCTGTGCCTCAGGTCAGCTATGGTTTCTTCAGTGAACTCTTGCTCACTAAGCAAATCAAAATTTGCAAGATTCAGCAAAATAAAAAAAATATTTTGTTCAATGTTTGAGTACTTAGATCTTATTATTTGAGCAAATTTTTTGGAGGAGGTATTTAAAAATGACTCTTCCTTGCAGTTCTCTTTTCAAATGACTTCCCTTTCAATTGCGATGAAGTTTTGAAAATAAAGTTAAACACACATTGCTGTGTTCAGCTAGCTGTCTGTCCATCAGCTACCTGAAAGCATCCTGATACATCAGCTGACTGCATTGATACATAATAAGCTCAAGGAGAAGGTTCCAAATGTGATGTCTTTGCCTTGGTACACAGCTTAATGGAAATATCCCTTAGGAACATCCAACTTCTTTTGCTTCAATATTACACTCAATAAACTTTCTGAACGTTCATTTAATCTCCTGAGTTGTCCAGATAGAGTTGTCAGGTCAGGCCTATCTCCCACTGTAATTTAATAAATTTTCATTGTTTTATAATAAAGCCAGCTCCTGTGAATGTAATTAGCATTCATCAGTTCATCATTGCCTCTCTCAAGTTAAAGTCAAAGTTGTAACACTATGAAACTGAGGATGAGACACTGAACTATGGTGACCTCACCAGGTAGATTTTGCTCATTTTAATAACAAGCAAACTATCAAAGCTGAAGTTGGACTAAGAACTTGTAAGGGTTTCTCATGGTAATAATACTAGTTATCACCAAATTTACCAAATATTAAAGCTCCTTTGTCCAAGTAAGCGATAGTTCAGAGGAAGTCACTCTCTGTTCATAAAACAAATGTTCAAAAAATATGAGTCCCAACCTGTGAGGACTAATAGGGGATGTTTTTAAGGGAGGAGTTTAGGGAAAGGACATAAAGCTGAGAATACGTGCAGTGTTCTCACAAACATTAGGAAATTTAGGTCTATGGCAGGACAAACCTGTGTCATGCAGCTGACCTGGATTTAACTGCAACGGAAGTTACTGACTCCACAGAGGCTTAAATGCAAGCTTCTTGACCAGTTTCCTTGTAACACTCACTTCAGCTCCCCAAAACTAGGAAAGCTATTTTTGACAGGAGGAAAACGCCAGATAAGGGCTTTTTGCTAGTTAGCAGTTTTATTCTATGCAGAGCACAATGAGGAATTCCTCTCTGAACCAGGAACCCTTTTCCTCTTTTTCCACCAGAGACATCAGTAATAGTAATGAGCATTTGGCAGTGGCTTGGGAGGTAAGGTACTGAATACTTCCTTTCATTGTCTCTCTGAAACTAAGACCCACAGCCAATTCCAAAACCTGGAAAACCCTGATAAACCAAGGCCACAGACCTTCATGGAGCAACTAAGGTCATACATACATACATACATACATACGAAATAGGCCCAATTCCTTGCTTACAAGTGAAGCCCTGAAATCAGATTCTACACTTGCTCCAGTGAAAGGGCTCAAAGTTTGCCTTCACAATCTCTGCAGGGGCTTTCGGACTTTATCGATTTTATCTCTTCTCCTTGATCCTCTATAGACAAAGCCATTCCTACTTATGAATTCCAGGAGCTAGTCAGAGGGACACCAGAAACATGTCCTCTGCTCCCTGATTTGTCCACAGTGAAGGCAACGCTAAAGAAACCTCATATCCTTTATTCCCTCCTAGAGGGTGGGCCCAGTCCCATTGTTAGGAACAACCACTTCTTTTAGAATTAAAAAAACAAAACAAAACAAACAACTGTCAGAAATCCTGGTTTTAAAAATTAAACGAAAAAATCCTCAAACTGAGTTCAAGACAGATATCAGCAGAGAAAGGAAAGTGGCTCATTTAAGTGAATCCTTCTACATGTTAACACCAAATATAACTTTTTTTTTTTAAAGAAATGTAGTATTGTGCTTCCCAACTTCCTGCCACAGGATTGCTAATACCTCTAGCCCTGCTCCCCCAGAGGCAGTTACAAAACACCCCACAATAGGCCTTGGAGGTGATCACAGGTCACCTGGAGGGGCAGAACGGGCATCTGTGGGAATTTCCATTCTGGGATTCTTGTGAAGAACACTACTTGGGCCTGGCAACCTAACAGAAGTCCTTACCAGGTGGCAGACCTTAGACCACTCCAACCCACAAGCCCTGGGGTAATGTGAAAAACAGAGGCACAAAGGATTCCAAAGAATGGCTGACTCATCAGCATGTGGAAGGCAGGATAAGGAAGCCTGACTCTCAGGCTACCTACCCCATCTCAGCATGGTTTTCAGGGAAGAGTTCGGGCTCAGTCTAGTGCTTGGTCGGAGAATGGAGAGAGGAGGGTAGGGGGGTGGCTAAGCTCACCCTGTCCTAAGGCAGGATCTAGTTGATAGGTGCCTCACCCCTGCACAGTGACTTTTTAGGGGGCTTAAGCCGGCCCCCCCTGCCCCGGGGATAGATGAGGGGCCGGCATCCTTAAAGCAGCCCATCATTCCCTCCAGGTTCCAGGGTCAGCCCACCCCGTTCTCTCTGGTGGATCTTTTGGTGCTGTAATAGGTGCTGCTTCTGGACAAAACTCTTCTCGCATTGTGCACAGCTGTAGGGCCGTTCACCTGTGTGGATGCGCTGATGTCGCACCAGGTCAGAAGGATGGCTGAAGCTCTTGCCACAGTAGCCACAGATAAGTGAGCTGCGGCTCTTCCTCCAAGGGATGTGGCCTGGTAGTGCAACCAGACTGTTGGGTGAGAACCTCTCCTGAACTCGCTGGCCCATGCTTGAGCCTTCCTGCAGGTGGCACCGCTGGTGGGTCACAAGGCTTGCCTTACAGCTAAAACTTCTCAGACACTCCTCACACTGGTGCGGTTTCATCTTCTTGGCCTGAGGTTTGAGCTGGGGCCTGGGCCGTAGATTCTCCTCAGGCTCTGGATCCCCAAAGGACCCCCAACCAGGGTGGGTCCTCATATGAACAGCCAGCTGCTGCTTGTATCGGAAACTGACATCACACTCAGAGCACTCATATGAACCAGTGGCTGGGGGGCTCCGTGGATGGGCCAGACTCCTTTTCAACCTCATACCCTGTCTGCATTCCTGACCTGATCGGGCTTGCCCACTAGATTTCCGCTTCCGATGAAAGCCCAATGTTTTGGCATCACTTTGGTCTTGGTTACACTCAATAGCTTCTTCCAGTTTAGTAACTTCTGGGTCAGTCTCCAAAAGGATGGAGTTGCCCTGACTATCCCAGGTTGCAGCCTGCTCAGGGATTAGCAAAGTATGCTGTTCAACACTACCAGAAAACTCTCCAGGCAAGTCTTCAGGGCTTTCTTGATGGTACTTCATCTCCTGTTTAATCATAATTCCATCTGCTAGAGAGGAAAAGAAGAGACGAAATGAACAAAAAAGTGAAATTCTAATATCACTGACCTTGAGATAAAAAAAAAACTCTTAAAAAAGCTTTGCCTTTAAAGAGTTCATTATAAGCCATCCAAACAGCAAATGACTTAGGAATATTACTCTTTACCTACAGGAGAGGCAATGAAAACTAGTCTCAACACTTGAAAACACTAAAGCCATTTCTTACAAATATATATTTGACATTTATATTTAAGCTCTGATCTAAATTATCTGGTTTCAAAACTTTCTTCCTGACTCATACGGTTGCATTCCAGTCTGCTCCTTCAACTCTGACCTCTTCCTCAAGCTCCCTTTATTCCATAATCTTGAGAAGGGAAACATGGGAATATCTTTATACCATCTTTTCTGGAGTGTTAGTTACAACAAGGCATTTCAGGGTTTGGAGGAGAATTAGGTGTGTCATCCTTCAATTGCAAGAAAATAGAGCAAAACAAATAACAGTTTATTGCAATGGTCTCAAAAATAGACTACTAAGACAGAGGTCACTCAATCATATTAAAATATAATTGGGAAATGTGTAACAAAATAAATAAAAAGAGAATACAACATAATTCATGATTTTCTAAGTCAATATGGGTCCCTCAAGGATCACTTCTATTTTAGTTTGACATCACTACTCTAAGGGATCACAGAATGACCCAAAGGAGTAGGTGATCAAACAATCAGTAAGAAAGGAGGGTTACATATCACCTTCCTCTTGACAGTCAATCATGGATTGTTTCAGATAAAACTACAATACCTTGAATACTCTCTCATTCAGTCCCTGTCCCACAGCTTTCTCAGGAGACCCTGGGCCTGAGACCCTCCAGATGAGGAAGGATACTCCTTCTCAACTCCTCTGCACAAATTTCCATCCCTCCCCTGCAGTCCTCATCTTCTGTACCAAGTCATCATGGCTGTAGAGGATTCTGGGGTAGCAGCTAATAAATAAAACCTACACGAACTTCATTTTTTAATAGAAAAAGTAGCAAAGGATGAATAGGCACAGAAGGGCTATGCTTACATTATTTGTTTTCCAAAATCCATCCCTCTATCTCCATGTTCACCATCCTTCTAGTCTTACAAGTTCTCAATCTTCTTTCTCTTTATCCTTAACTCTTCATTTAACCCTAATTGTTCTCTTTAAAGTTGTCAGTGATCTCTTAATTGCCAAATCAGAGGACCTTTTCTTAATCTCACATCTTCCTGTCCTCTCTAAAGCATTTGACACAGCTGACCACCCACTTTTCCTGGATATTTACTCTCTTCTCTCTGGGTAATCCCGACATGGTTCTTTCTTGGTTCTCTTCCTTTCTGTCTAAACCTTCCTTCTCAGTCTTCTTTGCTGGCTCAACATCCAAATAATACCCCCTCTGTAGGTGTACTGAGTCACTCTTCTCTTCTCTCTCTACATTCTCTCAGCTGACGGATTTAACTATCATTTCTATGTAAAATACTCCCAGTTTTACTTACAGATGGCCCTACCATCTGTCCCGAACTCCAGTCCCATACCCTCAACAAGTCATTTAATCTCTCTGTGCTTCAGTTTTTTCCATTTATAAAACAAGGGGATTAGACTCATTGGTCTCTAAGGTCCCTTCCAATTCCAGATGTGATCTTGTGATTATGAACTACCCATCGGACATTTCCAACTGGATGCCCCGCAGGCATCTCAAACTCAGTATGTCCAAAAGAAAACTCATGACTTTTGCCCCAGAATTTACCCTTCTTCTGAACTTCCCTATTAATGATGATGGCACCACCATCCTTCTACTCACCCAGGTTCTCAATCTTGGTGTTATCTTTGACTCCTCACTTACTTTCAGCTCATATATCCAATCAGCTGCCAGATCTTGTCATTTCTACCTCCTTAACATCTCTCCTATACAAACAGTTCTTGCTTTATGTAAATTTGCATTATGCAAATTCGACTTTACATAAATAATTCTGAAAGAAATCCCCATTCCAAAAGAACACCTATGTTCACTTTACTGTACAGTATTGTGCTCTCTCTCCACTTCTGTCCCTTGGCTCAGCACTCCACAGCCTCCCACCCCCAAACCAAAAACACAAAATAAAACAAAACAAAAAACCTCCAAGTGAAAACAGAATGGACATGGGGAAAGATTGCCCCACCACTGCCACAGATTGAGGGTTTGGCTTGAGATGTCGGAGCTAAGAGAGATTTCTGCCCCACTCCACCCATCTACTTGCATGTCTGGCCCATGTGTGTCTGTCCTCCATCTGTCCTTGAACAGGTAATGTGTCCCCAAGTGTCATCTATTGTCTCCTGTCTCCCCTCTTTTTCTCCCCCCAGGATGTTCTTCTTCTTGCTCTTAATTCGCTATCTCCAGCCCCCATGTATCCCTGAACCATGTAGTTCATGCAGGGGTAGACCCTCCTTGAGAGTGGAGCTAAAGGGGGATGTGGCTCCGCCCCCCAATCCTGCCACCCTCCCTCCCTTCCCCATATGCATGGGCTAATTCACAATATGTAAAAATCACTTTATGGAATGGTCCACTTACATAAAGTGAAAACTGTCTGTATACCTCTTCTCTCCATTCAGATAGCAACCACCCCAGTTCAGGGCCTCATCATCCAGACAATTATAATAGATTCCAAATTAGTTTCCCTGCCTCAAGTCTTTTCTCATTCTAACCTAACCTCCATACTGATTTAGGAAAAAGTGATTTTCCTAAAGTTTAAGTCTGATCATATCACCTCCTGCTCTTTAATAAATTCTAGTGGTTCTCTGTTATTTCATCTTTATCTCATCATTTCTTAATTTCTGTTTTCTGTTTAAGTTTTGTAATGTACATAATTATTAGTACAGTTGCACATGTATTTAATTTAAAAGTAAATATGTTTTGGGGGTACAGGCACAAAAATTTTTTACTGATGGGGTGTGAGAGAAAGTTTGGAGGCTACTGGCTTTTGGTATCAGCACTTCCTCTAGATTATTCAGGACAGCCACATATAAGGGGATGGTATATTTTTTATCAAGCCAGGAGTGATATCAAACCATGGTGATAAGAAAGAAAATGTGGTGAGAATGGGATATAGATACAGGCAGAGAGGCTAAATGAAGATGGGAGGGGGAGGTGTGGTACGGCTATGGTGCCCATGGTGTTGGGAGCCTGGGTCTCACTTTCTTCATAAGATTTGTGAGATACAACTTGAATATGACTCTGGTAGGACCTAATACAAAAGAAAAAGAATAGATAAAAGGGTTTGAGCAGCAGCATCACATATTTGGAAGATATGTGAGGAAACTCAAGAACCTCAGAGAGTAACTATGAAGAGTTCCTGAGTGAGACTCAATGAAGGCAAAGACAGATGTGATGCTGCCACTGAAGTATACTGCAAACTGCCTGGATTGAACAAGCATTATCTGTTTGGGAATGGACCCCCAAAAAAAAGAAGAAGAAGAAGCACACATAATACAAATCTGGCCTGAAGGCATCTGCTAGAACTCTATGTCTCTCTCTAGCTGAAGTACTGGGTATGAATAAAAAGAAAGCCAGTTTACAGTTCAAGGATATGTCTTCAAACCAGGGCCAACCTAGTGTGTCCTTTTGCAAGTCATTTATCCTGGCTGAATCTTAGTTTCCTCCCTTATAAAATAAGGGTACTAGATGATTGATCCCAAGGTTTTCCCTCCTCTCCCACCTCATCAGTGGGAGTCACAAGTGTCTTCTACTGCTACAGAAATCACACAGGTGCATGAGAAACGTGAGAAAGTGAGAATCATGGACAGATAGAGCCTAGAGCGGCATGGCTGAACTGTGCTAGCTGAGCTGACTCAAAATTTCTTATCCCTAGGGAAGAATATCCAGAGAATACGACTACCAAGGATTTCCTGAATGGCCTGATAAGTCATTTTGGATTGTGGAGGACAGGTTGTGTGAAATGGCTACTGATGCAACAGAAGTATATGGTTTGGTCAACATGAGGCCCATTTTGTGTGAGAATTAAAGGCTCTGCCTTAGCCTTTCCTTAAAAGCTAGTGAAGGAAGGTATAAATCAAAGCAAGTACAGCATCCATGCAGATGAGGCCAAGAAGGCACTGAATGACCTTTGTGTCATGCCCTTCTAAACATAGTGCTTTCCAGAAAGCTGGGAAACAATTTTTACAGCAAGTATCCCTCATAAAGGCCTCATTTCTCAAATATACAGAGAACTGAGTCAAATTTATAAGAATACATGTCATTCCCCAAGTGATAAATGGTTGATACAAACAGGCAGTTTTCAGACAAAGAAATCAAAGCTATATACAGTCTTATGAAAAAATGCTCAAATCACTACTGATTAGAGAAATGCAAATCAAAACAACTCTGAGGTACCACCTCACACCTATAAGATTAGCTAATATGACAGAAAAGGGAAATGACAAATGTTGGAGGGGATAGGGGAAAATTGGGACACTAATGCACTGCTGGTGGAGTTGTGAACTGATCCAATTTGGATTGGAGAGCAATTAGGAACTATGCCCAAATGGCTATAAAACTGTGCACACCCTTTGATCCAGCAATACCACTAGGAGGTTTATACACCAAAGAGATTTTTTAAAAAGTGGGGGGAGGACGTATTTTTATTTTTGTTTTTTTTTTAAATTTTTTATCAACAATTTATCAACAATCACTTCCATATGCTTTTGAGTTTAAAATTTTTCTCCCCCTTCCTCCCCACCACCCTCCCCAAGACTGCGCACAATCTGATATAGGCTATACATATACATTTCTATTAAACATATTTTCACATTAGTGATGTTGTAAGTAAGAATTAGAACCAATAGGAGGAACCACCAGAAAGAGGAAACAAAATACAACATAAGAGAAAAAAACAGCAAATAATATGCTTTGATCTGCATTCAAATTCCATAGTTTTTTTCTTTGGATGTGGATAGCATTTCCATCACGAGGCCTTTGGAGATGTCTTAGATCCTTGTATTGCTGGGAAGGGTTAAGTTTATCAACATTAGTCATCGCACAACGTGGATGTTACTGTACACAACGTTCCCCTGGTTGTGCTCACTTCACTCAGCATCAGACACATAAGTCTTTCCAGGTTTTTCTGAAGTCAGCCTGTTCATCATTTCTTATAGCACAATAGTATTCCACTACATTCATATACCACAACTTGCTCAGCCATTCCCCAATTGATGGGCATCCTCTCAATTTCCAATTCTTTGCCACCACAAAAAGAGCCGCTATGAATATTTTTGTACATGTGGGTCCTTTTCCCACTTGCATGATCTCTTTGGGATATAGCCCTAGAAGGGCTATTGCTGAGTCAAAGGGTATGCACATTTTAATAGCCCTTTGGGCATAGTTACAAATTGCTCTCCAAAATGGTTGGATCATTTCACAACTCCACCAACAATGCATTAGTGTTCCAGTTTTCCCACATCTTCTCCAACATTTATCATTTTCTTGTTTTGTCATCTTGGTCAATCTGATAAGTGTGATGTGGTACCTCACAGTTGTTTTGATTTGCATTTGTCTAATCAATAGTGATTTAGAGCATTTTTTCATATGATTAGGGAGGACGTATTTTTACAAAAATATTTATAGCAGCACTTTTTGTAGTGGCAAAGAATTGGAAATTGAGGGGATGTCCATCAACTGGGAAATGGCTGAACAAGTTATGGTATATGATTGTAATGGAATATTATTGAGCTATAAGAAATGACAAGCAGCCTGACTTTAGAAAACCTGGAAAAACTTACATGAACTAATGCAAAGTGAAATGAACAGAACCAGGAGGACACTGTACACAGTAACAGCAATACTATATGATAAACAACTGTGAATGCTTAGCTATTCTCAGCAATACAATGATCCAAGACAATCCCAAAAGACTCATGATGGGAAAATGCTATCCACCTCCAGAGAAAGAACTGATGGAGTCTGAATACAGATCAAAGCATATTATTTTTCACTTTCTGTTTTTTCCCCCCTTTGGGTATGTATCTTCTTTCATAACATGACTAATATGGTAATATGTTTTGCATGATTTAACATGTATGACTTCCTCAGGGAGGGAAGAGGTGAGAGAGGGAGAGAGAAAATTTTTAAAAAATGAATGTTAAAATTTGCCTTACATGTAATTGGGGAAAAAATATTACCAAAAAAATAAAATAAACATGGTGCTTTCTCTCAGATTACCTCCCATTTACACTGTATGTGTTCCATACATACATAGTTGCTTGCATGTTATCTCCCCCATTAAACTGTGAGTTCCTTGTGATCAGGGACCATGTTACTGCCTTTCTTCGTATCCCCAGCACTTAGCACTGACACTGTTAAGTGCTTCAAAAATGCTTGACTGTTAACTGACCAAAGACAGATCACTATATTGGAAACAGCACTGGATTAGTCAGCGCAGTTCCCTTTTTACCCCAAATGATGTCATTGGCTGCACAGCTGGTAATCTGGAACACTTCTGAATCCATCAGTTTTCTAACTGAGCCTTATACTTTTATGACTAGCACTATCTACAGTCCTTTGAATGAATTCAGAAGGAAAATGAAGTGTGGTCCTTGCTCACAAGTTTATAATTATAATGTTAATTAACAGTTGGTCAACAATATAAGAAAACACCTCATCTAAAATCTGTCATAAAGTAATCAAAGATGGATTCCAGAAGAGTACAGGAGGGTAAGGACTTTCAGAGGGAGAGATTACTGTAAGTTGCGGGAGAAAGTATGCTGTGGACACTCACCTGGGTGGGGACCACCAGGGCTCTCCCCGGCCAAATCCCCCAGTTCCTCTGTACCAGATTCTTCTTCCTGGTGGGCCAGAAGCTCAGGGTTGGAAATGGCACAGTCTGAGAACAAGAAAGGAAAAAAAAGAAACCCTGAGCATTTAGTTTGTGATTGGTGACCAAAACCCCAATGCTAGACCTCAGGAGAACCACGGGAAAACCGTAACTATTTTTCCTCTCCCAGTGCTTAGATCACTACATAAATTCACAGATTATGTGATTTTTGCTGTTGTTTAGTTGTTTTCAGTTGTGTCTGACTCTTCATGATCCCTTTGGGAGTTTCCTTGACAAAAATATTAGAAAGCTTGTCATTTTCTTCTCCAGTTCATTTTATAGATGAGGATTGCTTAAACTTATTTTGCCCACACTGTGAATGATCAAGTGTTTCAATTTTATGCATTTTCTATTTCCCAGAGACCTCTGATATGTTAACAAGACATAAAGTCTTACCTAAGCTAACGAATTCAATAAACATTTATTAAATGGGTACTAAGGCACTATCTTAGTTGCTGGGGATACAAAGATACAGAATGACCTAGACTCTATTCTCAAGGAGTTTACTCCTAACAAGGCAAAAAAGACATGGACACTTATGATTATTATACAAGAGAGAGGCTCTGATTAAGTGCAAAAGAGAGGTCCAGGCACTATAGCAAAAACAATGAGGTATAATGAAAAGAATGATAGTCTTGAAATCAAAAGACCTGGGTTTGAGTGCTGGCTCTAACACTTATTAGTTATATGCTCCCAGGGAAGTAATTTTACCCCTTTCACTTTACAGATATAGATATGTAGACATGGTTTTAATGAGCAACTTAATTATGATGTAAGACATTTCCCACTCAGAGAATTTATAGCTTCACAGAAAAATTCTTTAGTCAAAAAGAACCTGTGATGGAGGCAATGGATGGGGCATTAACACCAAATATTCTTAAAAACTCAACTGTAAATTATCCAAGGCAAGGTAAGCTGGTTTACCTTTGCCACACTCTACAACCTTCTGACCCATCTTCCTCACTCAGTTGGTGGGTAAACTAAGAGAACACAAGTACACTCTAAGAGCAAGTTTAAGATAAGTATAAATAAGTGATTCCACCACTCTGAGGATTGGATTTATGACCTCTAAGGTCATTTTCAACTTTAAATCTATGATACTATGAAGTGTTATATACTATATTCTAAAGGCAATATTGTTTTACAACATTATTCTCCAAAAATATCACATCTTTCTTCTCATTTCATCCCCATAAAAACCCAGTGAGGTAAGAAAGATATTATCTATCTTGACAGATGAAAGAATGCCTTGCCCACAATCATAGTTAAGAGACAGTGTGATTAAACAAATCCAATTCTCCTGTCTTCCTATATTATGAGTTGGCAATGAATATCATAAGGGGCCCAATTACAATCTATAACAACTTGGGCACAGGTCAATTACTGTCCCAATTCCGAAGTCCATAATAACTAAGATAATTCTAAAAAAGGAAGCTCCCTTACCCAGAGAGACAAGGGTCTCAAAGTTGCTCTTCATCACATTCCTGTAAAGTTCTTTTTGCCAATCATCCAGGTTCTCCCATTCTTGCTCTGAGAAATAGACTCCATCATTTTCAAAAGTCCCAGGCACCTGAAATCACAAGGATCACACACTGAGTGTCTCTTATCATGCTGGCACAGCTTGACCCTTCAAGCAAAAAGCAAGGAACCAGAAATGAAAGAGTATACAAGGTCAAACATCCTTCTAACCCTCAGCTGCAGACTTGGAGAGATTACCTTGGGGACCTCGCCCTTGCTGCCTGGGGGGAGTCGCAGGATCCAGAAGTTCCTGTTTCTGAGCAGGTTCTCCATGTTCTCTAGCCTCCTCTGGAGCAACCCATACTCCTGTACCAAGGTCCCTAACACAGCCCATTTGCCCTCCAACTGGTTCCCAAACTCTACTGCTGTCTTCTCATAATCAGCCAGTTTCTTCTCTGCCGTCCCTGTCCGCCCCTCTAGGGTCTGTAATCGGGCAGCCTGGGACTCCACCTTCTTTTCCACTGCCTGAATGGCTGCCACCACAGTCCAGAGGGAGATCTCTGTACTCTGTAGGTATGAATCTTTCTCTGAGGCTGAAGGCAGGAGCGAAGAAGTTATAGGTGTAGAGCGTCGTTTTCCCTTGTTCTGAGGAATGAAAGATGGAATTATGATCACAGTCTGATTAGACAATGACAGTTAAAACATACAACAACATGAAAAGAACTGCCATGTTTCAAAGTTGTTCAACAATGTCTAGGTTAGGATCTAGGGTTTTTCCTAGTTTAAAAAAATAAAAGCACCACCCAGATTTCACTGAGCTTGTTAACATTTAGCATCATCCTACAAGTAGAAAAAACCCTGTGGGTGAAACTCAAAAGAAGCATAACCAAAATCATGATTTTCTGGAATTTTTTTTTCTTGTTTGGGAGGGGAGGGAGGGAAGGTGGGGATAACACAATAAAAGAAATCAACAGCAACAGTCCAAATAAATGAAATTCACAAATAATCCTCCAACCAATTTAACCACTTCCAGGGAAGACTCAACAGTCAAGATCCTACTCAAAGAACCATTTCTTATTTACTGTGTGCTAAATTCTGTTCCAGGTGTTAAGCCTAATGGAAAGAGCACATAATTAGGAGTCAAAAGAGTTAGTTTCTAGTGTCTGATCTGATACTGACTAGCTATATGAATAACGGTTTCCTCATCTGTCAAATAAAGTCACAGTCAACAAGTCTATAAGCATTTATTAAGCACCTACTAAGCATTGGGGATGCAATGGCAAAAAAGAAAAAAATAAAGAAACTGTAAGAGAGGAAGGGAGAGGAAAAGGATACTAAGATTAGATTTTTTAAAGGTCTATTCCCGCTCCAAAATGTGATAAATCTACAGAACAGCTGACAACATAAGCAAAATTTAAGTGCTGCGTGGCCACCCTAGCATGTCCTGCCATAAGACTCCCACCCATTTTTCGTCTTCCACTCCTAGGGGTAGGCAATCCATGAAATAGAAAGACATAACATTCCTGTCTCACGCTTATCTGCTACTACCAATATTTCTTGTTACCAAGTCCTATGCATTTTTTCATCCTTGATATGAACTTTAAGTTGTCTTTCCAGCACCAGTGATGGGTCCCATTCATATTCCCAGGAGGCTGACCAACAGCATAGATCTATCAATCATTTGCCTGGGGTCAGAAATAGAGTCTGGAGCTGTACAAAACAGGATAAAATCAACTGGCGCATGTGGGGAGTTTCAAGACCAAAAGCATGACCTCATTAGCAATATACCCTAAACCAAGTGAGTTATCCTGGCTATCTGCCCTCTCCACCTGTTCCACACCCAGTTGGCAAAAAACTATGCCAGATATTTAAATATCAAAAAATGATCAAAAGAGAAAACAAACAAACAAAATACACATACAAGATGCACACACACACACACACACACACACACACACACACACACACACACATACATCCACCTATGTCTGTTTTGCCTATAATTTTAGGTTTATAAAGCAAGGATCATGGTCGCTCAATAAATGGTAAATAGCAGAAATGTAGAGAGGAGGACAAAGAGAAACAAAGAAATACACAAACAAATCTTCAAATCTTTGTTGAGACTGCTACATGGATCATTCGGTAAATCCAAGGTATAAGGGACCTTATACCTTGGTTCTTTCTAAACATTGTCTATATTATTTTTAGGTTGTCAGTTTCCCAAATGCCTAGATCCTATGCTTTCAGTGAATCCATTATTTAGAAGCTCCCTTTCTACCACTGATTTTCTCCCCTAATATAATATGCAGTATCACTTTCCAGTGTTTTGAAATGCTGCCATCACACAAGTCCACCTCTACTTTAGAAAACAGACCTCAAAATATATAATAATGGATACTATAAAAATACTTGTTGAAACAGTTCTCAAAAGACCTGAGAACTATTAACAGTCACATGAAAGACTGCTCCAAGTCACTGATATTCAAAGAAATGAAAATCAAAACAACTGGGAAGTTTCACCTCACATCCAGCAAATTAGCAAACATAACAAAAGATAGAAATAGTACTGTAGGGGGAGCTTTGAAAAGCTAGGCATATTAATTCTGCGTGTGGAGTTATGTATTGGTTCAAACATTATGGAAAGTAATTTGAAATTATGCTAAAACCCCAGAGCCAACAGTATACCCAATGGATATCAAAGAAAGGTAGATCTCAGCTATACAAAAATATTCATGGCAGCACTTTTTGTGGCAGCAAAGAACTGGAAACTAAGTAGATGCTCATAAATTAGGGAAGAGCTAAACAAATAGTGGTAAATGAATATAATGGAATATTACTATGCCACACAAAACGATGGATATGAAAAATTCAAAGAAGCCTGGGAAGATTTAAACAATTACTACAACAACGCAAAAGCAAAGAATTGGGGAAAAAAAAGCTGAACACTATAATTATAATAAGCAAAGTTGGCCCTGGAGGAAAAAAATGAAGAAATACATCTCTCTTCTTTTTTGCAGAGGTGGGGGACCACGGGTGGTAGAAAAATTATAGATACTATAAGACTATTAATATATTTGTTTTGCTGAACTGCTTTTCCTTATTTATTCTCTCTCTCACTCACACAGGCGCATACACATACACTGAAGGACCCCAGGGGTATGTAAACAGAGATGGATACGTGCCAAAATGAAGGTGATATTAAAATGAACTGTTTCATGCTGGCTGAGGCATTCTGACAGTAGGGGAAGGGGATGAGCATTTATTAAGCACCTACTATGTTCCAGACCTTGTGCAAAGCACTTTGCAAATATTACCTCATTTGAGCTTCACAATAACCCTATGATAGGTGCTGTTATTATCCCCATTTTAACAGAGGTTAAGGGATTTGCTCAGTGTTACATAGCTAGTTAGTCTGAGGCCAGATCTGAACTCAGGTCTTCCTGACTTGAAGCCCAGAATTCCATCCACTGTGATACCAGCTGCCCATTAACATATGATGCCTATTTGTGTTTCCATTACCTAGCACATTGTTTTACTCATGTGAGCAAAAAAAAAAAAAAAAAAATCCCCTCCCTACAGGATTTACAGGGAGAAAGATGAGAGATGACCAAACAAGGCAATATATGTTAAGCCGCATTAGGTCTTCTGTCTGCATCACATCTTCCCATCCTGTCTCTGTTGTGCCTTTGTTCCAATCAACCATTCCTACTCTCAGGCATCTTTTCTCCCTGTGTTGCCTTCTTCTCCTTGGCCTACAAACAAGTTATCACCTATCCTTTAAAAAAAAAAATCCCCTTCCTTTGAACTTGACATTTCTTTAAGCTACCATCTTTTCTTCTTAGAGACAGCAAGATCATATAGCAGATACAGCACTGGGCCTGGAGTCCAAAAGTTCGTATCTGGCATCAGACTCTTACTAGCTATGTGATCCTGGGCAAGTCACTTAACCTGTTTGCCTCAGTTTCCCCAACTGTAAAATGTGGCTAATAATTGTGCCTACGTTCCAGGGTTGCTACAAGGATCGAATGAGATAATATCTGTATAGCACTTAGCCAGTACCTGGCACATAGGTGCTTAATAAATGCTTGCTTCCTTCCTTCTTTGCTGCTAAACTTTTTCTCACCTTCCTTTGGAATCATCAACTCCTCAATCTCTTGAAATTTGACTTCCATCTCTACCAGTCTACTGAAATTGCTCCCTCCAATCTCTAGGTGTTTTATCATCAAATCCAATGGATTTTTTTACAAGTCCATCCCTTCCTTTTGATACCCTTTAATTTCTTTGAAACTACTCTCCTGGTTCTTTTATCCCTTTGAGTACAAGAGTCCTTCACAGACTTTTCCTCTTTCTACTCCCAAGGTTTTGTTCTCAATCCTCTTTTCTTTCAACATTCTCTCCCAAGGTGATCTAATCCACAGCCAAGTTTAAATTATCTTGTCAATGTACGTGACTCTCGGGGCTCAACTTTTCCCTAGACCCCATTCAAAGTATCACCAGCAGTCTTACCAATTACTTCAAACTAAACTGAATTATCCCATAAACCTGTTATTTATGTGGTTACTACCATCACAAGCAATAGAAAATTCCTACTTTTAAACAAAACAGCACTAATTCCCCACTTCCAGAAGGCCAGGCAGTGCTAGGTTTTTGTTTCGTTGTTGTTGGTTTTTTCTGGAGCACCTATTGTTGTACCACTGATTTGGCAATTAAACAGGTAATGAAAGCTTTGAATTCTCAATTGCTATTTAGTTATGCAAACCTTATATTGTTATGTGAACAAATGGTTTCTGAAATTGAAGAGAGAACTCCAAGATGTTGGAAATACTGTTACACTTCAAATTCTACCAAGAGTACTGTGGTCTTAGTAAAACTGTGTTATCAAGGAATATGATAATTCTATAATAACATTTTGATAATTTCCACTTTTAAGATATAAACTAAAATATTTCATGTACCCAAACCACTTGGTACATGCTTATTTTCTTCTAAAATTTCTAGCCCCATCCTTTTTTTATCCTGGGGAGATACACCATTCTCCTTGCACCAGCATATATCACAAGTGTTTCATGTCTAAATAAATGTGGAAAGCATTGGTCTAATGATAGTAGGTGCTCAATAAAGGTTTGTTGATATTGATTTGATATCACCTTTGGAAATGTACTTGCCTCCTTTGAGGCCAATAAAGAGTGAAACTACTTAACAGATCACCAAGTTCCTCCATTCACTCATAGTGGAATAGAGCAAAAAAATTCCAACATGATTAATTAAATCAGTAAGCATTTATTAGCTAGGTGCTAGCACTAGGTGCTAGGGATATAAATGCAAAGAATAAAACAATCTCTACTTTTAGAACCTCAATTTTTGAAGCCCTTCTCCTCTAGCTTCATTTACATCCACAATTAAAAGTGTCCCTCTGTGAATCTTTCAACCAATGTTTGACTTTACCTCTGAACTTATTTCCAAATTTCTATTATAGATATTATTATGCCTCTTATCTCTTTACTAGACTATAAGCTCCTTGAGGAATAGGGAATGAGTCATTTTTCATCTTTTATCACCAGCAACTAGCTTGAGGAATCAACTACAACACGAATTATATGACACTTTAGAATTTATAAAGCATTCTCCTTAAAACAACTGGAGCTAATACACTCAGGTCCTCTGACTTCAAGAACAGTGCTAGGCACAGTAATAAACATTTTTTGAACTGCTCTAAATTGTACTTTATGTCAAAGTTCCCACATTATCAGTTTTTGACAATGGACTGGCATACATTATAGTGAAACTCAATCATATTACAACCAACATCCCAGTCACAAATTCTCCCAGAGAAAAATAACAGGACCACCCAAATGCCCTAAGTATAAGGATGACCTTAAATTTTACTACCAAATACTAAAGCCAAAATAAAGTTTAAAGATCACAAATCTAATTCTCACATTTTTACTCAAGGGGTAGACTAAGGTCTTAGGAAGAAGCATATACAATGGCAGAGCTGAACTCTTTGAAAGCTTGATTTGGGAGAACTCTACAGGGGGCAGTTAGTTGGCCCAGTAGATATAGCACCGGCCCTGGAGTAAGGAGGACTTGAGTTCAAATTCGACCTCAGACATACCATACTGACTAGCTGTGTGACCCTTGGCAAGTTGCTTAACCCCGATTGCCTCACCAAAAAAACAAACAAAAAGAAAAGAGAGAGGGAGAGAGAAAACTTTACAGGTAACAAAGCAACAGCAGGTTTCCAGGGATGTCCAACCTAACAGCCCAGAAGCAGACACTAACTTTGACCGGAGAGATATGGGGCTGCTGGTTCAATAAACTTCAGTGTAAATGTACTAAAAAACGACTCGGTCACTTACCAGCGGCATGGCTGTAAGTTATCAATCAACCAACATCTATTTAAGCTCTTGGTATGTGCTAGGCACTGGGCTAAGCTCTGAGGATACAAATACAAAAATGAAACCAGCCTAGTCCCAGAAGAGTTTATGATGTAAAGGGGAGTCAATTAACTTTGTCTATCCTCAGTTTTCAAAACGGTAAAATGGGAGCAGCTAGGTGGTGAAGTGGACAGTGTGTAGGGCCTGGAGTCCAGAAGACTCATCTTTCGAAGTTCGAATCTGGCTTCAGACACTTACTAGCTGTGTGACCCTTGGCAAATCACTTAACTCTGTCTGCCTCAGCTTCCTCATCTGTAAAATGAGCTGGAGAAGGAAATGGCAAACTATTCCAGTATCTTTGCCAAGAACACCCCAAATGAGGTCACGGAGAACTGGACATGACTGAACAAAATGAGGACAATGACATTTGGGACTACTCATCCTAGAGTAGTGGAGAAGAGTGTTTTGCATACTACACGAATATGAACCATGACTGTTTTTGTTCTAACTGGATCGGTCAGCCAACTAGCATTTGTAAAGGCCTACTATGTGCCAGGCATTGTGCACAGGAGCCATAAAGGCAAAGAATGGTATCCCAAAGAATATCCCAGGATAGTGGCATGTACGAGAGGGGTGGAGAGGTGAGAAATGGGGCCAAGCTTGGTGGCACAAGACGGTCCCGATACACCCTCAACACGAGTTTCTCCCCAGTGTTTTAACAAGAGTTAATTAAAGGCCTCCAAGCGCCGGCGCACCCCAGGTCAATCGAAGACACTCCCCCAGTACCAAGGAGAGGTTCTAAGCTTCCCAGACCCCCAGGAAACTGACCGAGGGGCGAGACACACTCAACACAACTCCCTAGGGCACCGGATTTGGAGTCCGTGGCCCTGGGTTCAAAATCTGTCGGGACACCCGGCTATCTAAATAAACAAGATGACATAGCGCTTGATTCGCAACCCTTAAAGCGCCGAACAAAAGGTGGCTCTCCGGCTGTGACCCTGGGCAAACCTCCCTTCCTCCCTCGGTCTCAGTTTCCTCATCTGTAAAATGAGGAGACGGGACCAGGCGACGTGCGAAGCCCAGGGAGGGGACTGCTGCCAGCTTCCGGGGGGCGTCAGAGCGCATCCCCGGCACCGTCCGGCCGGAAGCAAAGCGCAGGTCCTCAGGGGCCGTCTCCCCCTGGGGGCGGCGCTCCTCGGCCGAGCCTGTCCCCCGCTCCGCACCCCGCGCCTCAGGTCAGGCCTCGGGGTGCCCCCCGGGCCCGCCTCCGTCCACTGCTCCGTGGGCCAGCTCCCCCGCCGGCCGGGAGAACCTCACCGGAGGAGAAACCGCCTCGGCCATGGCTCCCCGCTATCGTCCTCACACAGCCGGGCCGCGAGCCAGGCCAAACCGCTGTCGGTTTGTCCGGACCCCCAGAGGAGCGGCAACCGCCGCCACCGCCGCCGCAGCCACCGCCGCCGTGTTGATACAAACTGCATCCTGGGAGCCGCGACCCGCCCCGCTCCCCTACCCTGCCAAGAGCAGCCTCCGGCTCGGCAACCTGGCAACGGAACGACGCACAGCGCCGCCAGCGGGCCGGGCGGAGGGAGAGCAACCGGAGCTCCAGCGCATGCGCAGAGCCAGGACCGGCGCCCGGGATCTTTTCTTAATCCGTTCTCGCTTTGAAAAGCAGATAGTTTGTCAGGGGGTTTTCATTTTCTTTCATCCATTTTTCAACAAAATCATTTTAAGTGCTTATGGTGTGTAAAGCAGTGTTAGTTTCATGGGGAGATAAAAAGATAAATAAAATGAACAAACGAGATAATTAAATTTCTTGCCCTTATTAAGTTTATCATTGGTCAAGAAGGGATGACCTACACAGGATGTCCCAAGAATTAGTGCAGCTTTAAGACTTTTGGGACCCTAATCTTACTATACCATTACTACATCACTATACTGTTACTACATTACTATACTGTGTGGTAATATACACATATTACTATACTGTGTGGTAATATACACATATTACTACACTATAGTTATAATGTAGACTAGTAGAAATGGTAGTAGTAATAATAATGATGATCGCCGAACATTATATAAAAGTTTTAAAGTTTTTGAAGTGCTTTAAATTGCTTATCTCATTTATAATACAGTATGGGGGTCAGAGAAAGGAAATATCTTCCCCCCTTCCCCCCAGTCAAGGAGGGCTTCCTGGAGGAGGGGATGGCATTTAAGCTTCACCTGGTAGAATGTGTACCAGTTCAACAGGTGGTTTTTAGGAAGGGCATTCCATAGATACAGAATGATGAGAGCCCAGGTATAAAAAATCCTGAGTGTGTCAGGTAACAGTGAGTATGGTCATGGCTTAATTTTGCTCTTCAGTGTTGCTGTTTTAATGAAAAATAACTGCATGTTTGAAAAAAAAAGAGAAAAGGAACTGTGTACTCCAGTGAGGCTGAAGCATGGTGCACATGGAGAAGTGTGGCGTGAGTCTGGAGAGGGAGAGCTATAAGATCATAGATTAGAGCTGGAAGGGACCTTAGTGAACCTTTAGGGAGTCATTGGATGGCGCAGAACCTTCAATGCCACGGTAATGAGTTTGGATATTACGGGGCTCGGAAAAGAAATGGATGAATGGCCAGATCTTCAAATAAGGAAGATTGATCTGATTGCAATATGAAAGTTGGAGGAAAGGCAGGGAAACCAACTAGATTACTGAAAGAGTGGAAATTAGGGGTCTGCATGGTGGTATTGTGAATATAAATGAAGGGACAAATTCCTCAGTCATTATTTTAAACCCATGTTCTCCCAGGTCTCTCTCTCTCTCTCTCTCTTTTTTTTTTTTTTTACTTTTTTCCAATTGTCAGACTTTTTTTTTCTTTCTTGCTTCCTTCATCCCTCTACTGAAAGAAAATAAAACAAAACCCTTGTAACAAATACTCATAGTCAAGCAAGGCAAATTCCCATACTGACCATGTCCAAATGTATGTTTCATTCCTCGTGAGAGGTCTGTGACCTCTCTGTCTCCTGATCCTTCTATCTTCATCTTGGGCCTTCTGGAATTTTAGCTAATCATTGCATAATGTGTTAGCCATTGTTATTATTTTAGCCTTCCAAATACATGCCTCAGGTTGCACTTTTGTGATCTTTTTCCACCTTTGCAAAAAATTTTTGGTGGGATGGGTTTGGGGCATTGTAATGGTAGAAGAGGGGAGAAGAGAACAAAATGATGAGATCCAAGACAGTCCTATTCTTCAAACTATCTTAAACTAACAAAATGTTTTCCATTTGAAGAACAATTATACTACATAGATCTATTGAAATCATAAATTAAAAAAATTAAAGTGTGGTTTCAGTTTGAAGGTAAGGTTATCACATTGTTGCAAATTCAAAAAATAAATACCTGGGGGCAGCTAGGTGGCACAGTGGATAGAGCACCACCCGCCCTGAAGTCAGGAGGACCTAAATTCAAATCCAGCCTCAGACCAAACATTTGACACTTACTAGCTGTGTGACCCTGGACAAGTCACTTAACCCCAATTGCCTAAAAAAACCAAAGCAAAACAAAACAAAAAAAAAAAGTGTTAAAATAAATAAATAAATACCTGAAATTCCTACCCCATGGTGTGAGTTTCAAATGAGATAATCTATATAAAGGAGTCTTAACCTAGAGTCTAAGGGTCTATGGATAGATTTCAGGGGATCTGAGAACTTGGCTGGGAAAAAAAAATACGTCTTTGTTTTCATTAATTTCTAACTATAAAAATTTAGTCATTGTTCAGTCATGTCCAACTCTTTTTCAGCCCATTTGTGATTTTCTTGGCAAAGATGCTAGGGTGGTTTGCCCTTTCCTTCTCCAGCTCTTTTTACAGATAAGGAAACTGAGACAAATAGAGTTAAGTGACTTGCCCAGGGTTACAAAGCTAGTAAGTGTCTGAAGCCAGATCTGAACTCAGGAAGATGAGTCTTCCTGACTCCAGGCTTAGAACTCTATCCACTGTGCTACCTCCTTCTCTTTAAGTATGGCAACAAACATTATTCAGAGAAGGGGTCCACAGGCTTCAACAGGCTGCTAAAGGGGTCTAGGACATAAGAAAGGTTAAGAACCCCAGGTCTATGTAAATTGCTTTGCAAACTTTAAAGCAGTGTTATTAGTTATTTAAAGTTATTAGCTCTTATTAGTATTAGTACTAAAAAAAAAAATCACAGGCAAGTTGCTAGGTGGCTCAGCGGACAGATGGCTTAGACCTGGAGTTAGGAAGAGCTGAGTTCAAATATGACCTTCAGCACTTACTTAGTTCTATGACCTGAGGCAAGTCACTTAACCTCTGTGTGCCTCAACTTTCTTAACTGCAAAATCAGAGTCATACCTCACCGAGGGTTGCTGTGAAATAATATCCCACTTAGCATTGGGACATAATAGGTTCTTAATAAATTCTTTTTCCCTTCCTGTCCCTCCCCCTTGCCACACCCCCCTCCAAATCTAATAAAGAAGCAGAGCCTTTGTCCTCCATCTTGGGAACACGTCCCCTTGTTCCTCCAGCTCTTTCATTCAGAGACTACTAGGCGAAGAGGTGTGGCTGGTGCCAGGGGCAAGACAATGGACCTGCTTCAATGAAACTACTCCCTCAGTTATTTCTCCTTCCCTTACAACTGAACCACAGAGAAAGCTACTGAGCCAACTGCCCCTACTGTCCCCAATGGGGGGGGTTGTTTCTTGTAGCCCCTGGCAATGGTATTTCTAATGGAGGATGCTAGAGAACACTCCCAGTTCCCTTTCCCGAAGCCCTTTCTGTCAGTCCCTACTCTGATGTTAAATACCTCCTTCTAGATAAAGTAAGAAGCCGGCCATTTGTTTGAGTTATTTAGCTCTCATTTGTCTCTCATCAAGAAGGTGTGTGTGGCTGGGGGGGGCAGGGTGCTGCAGCCAAGCAATGGGAGGAACTGTCCCTGGGAATTTACAGGCCTGGTGGTTCTGGTGGAGACTGAATTCTAAGGCAGGCCATTGGTGATAAGCAGGAGAAATAAATAAAAAAGGAGAGTGGTCTGTAAACTACGTATGTATGTGTGTGTTTGTCCGAGCTTGCACATTTGCATATAGACGTGTGTCTGTAAGCACTAGTGTGCTATTACCAATCGGCTTCATATAGTCATGACACACTTTTTAAGTGTAATCTGCATTATTAACATTTTCTCCATCACTTTGTTAAGCTAAGGCAAGCTACAAAACAATAAAGTAAGCCCCGATTTTGTAGTTTTTGCCAATTTCCAAGGTGTAAATGCTTACACCGAAAATTTAACAACTGGTACTCCTAGCTAGGTAGAGCTAGCCCCAGCACGCTCCTGTATATGTGATTGTGTATGTATAAAACATATACACATATGTATATATAATATGTGTATGTGGGCATGCGTATATATATGTGTGACCTTGTGTGTTTCCAGCACAGACTTCAAAGCCATCACTGGGGAAACAAATTCTTTGAAGGGGCCAGCTAGCCCCATGTTGTACCAACCCATGTCCATATACCCAGGACAAGATGAGCCAGCCTAGAGGAGAGACAGGAGGCTACCATTTTGCCTGGTCTCTCCTTGAACTTCCGTAGTGCATCCCCAGTCTTTACAACACACAATTTAGCTTCTGATCATATGCCATTGTTCTCTAATGGCTACTTATTGTGTGCCCTCCCAGTGTGGCCTCCAGTTTAACTGGGTGGTAATTCACTCAACATCTCTGGAGTTCAGTTTCCTTATTTTACTTTATTGCTAGAATTTATACAGTGCTTTAAGGTTTGCAAAGCACCTTACAAAATATCTCATTAGATCCTCACAACCTTGGGAGGCAGATGCTATTATTATTCGAATTTTACAGATGAGGGAACAGAGGCAGACAAAGAAGACACGATTTGCCTAGGGTCACACAGCTAGTAAGCGTTGGAAGCTGGATTTGAACTTAGGTCTTCCTGATTCCAGGTCCTGTATTCTCTCCACTTCACCACCTAGCTGCCTTTAGACTTACTTGATGGGTGTGTTGAAATATCCAATGACCAAATGATATGAAAGTGTTTGAAATGTTAAAAAGTAACTTCTTGTCTTCAAATCTAAACAATTTGTAATTATTGTGGCTATTATTATTAGTAAATTGGTAAAAAAAAAAAAGTTATATGCTCGTTATGGCAGGATAATGGAAATGTAGCTCAGACTTTTTGTGGCTCTCCTGCACTGCTATGGAGTCCAGAAGTCCTCAATATAAATTTCATGACAAACTAGATAAAGAGAATCGAGGGAGAGCACAGATAGTGCAGTACAAGCCCATTACCGTTTCTGGAGAAAAAACTCGAAGCCATGTCCTTTCGACGGTCAGTAGCCTTGGTGACTCTGTTTCCTCAGAGGTACAATGTTGGGTGAGGAGAGAAGAGGATGGGGAGGGAATAAGCATTTGTATAGTACTACTGCAAGA